CTCGACTAATATCACCCACCATGGAAATATTAACATCTTGTACAGAAGAGACATAAATTATATTCAGATTAGTGAAAAATAAACCGCCGGTCGAGGGGTTAGAGTCGATGACTTCTAATCCAGTTACCCCTCTGGCGTGGGTTCGATCCCCGGAGATGCTTTGGTAGTTTAGCGCAGAGGAAGGTTGTCTAGTACTGGTGTAACTCTCCAGGAACGATGGTTAGGAAACTACCTGCCTATATGACTGAAATACTGATGGGAAAAGGCGTAAAATGAAACAAACAAACAAACGAAAGTGAAAAATAAATTGAAGTTCCTCAAGGATTTAGAAAGAAAAATTGAAATTTGATTTGTTCTTGGTATAACTTTGCTACCATTATGCAAACCAGTGTTAGTTTGTACATTATATGATATAAATATATGGGAAATATTTGAAAGTGTGTGAAAAGTGTTAAACTGTGAAATAAATGTTGGGTTGAATTTGTATGAAATTAATAGTAGTGTTAAATTGATATGAAACATATCTCCTCAAGATTATTTCAGATTCATATTAAAAAAAAACTTCAGGAGGCTTGTAATAAATTCATTTAATGGTGGACTAGGAGTAATTTCTATTAGGTATCTTAATTGTTAGGTGTTATACATCACAAAAGTCTTAGATTTTTGCTATTCTCTTAGTGGTCTTGAACTATGTTACCAGTTCTTAATGTATAATTCTGTAAGTAAGGAAACTACTATGATTTATGTACAAATTATTTTTTTTATATGTTTTTCATCAAACAAAATGTTGGTTAGAATAAGGGGTCTTCCATATCTGATGCTTCAGTGGGGAGGGAGAAAAGCTCCCATTAAGGTAAATGCAGTTGAAGAATAAGTTAAAGATTTAAACAGCTATTCAAAATATGCCATGTGGTGTCAGATACTTCATTTAAATGTTTCAAACAGCTTTACAAAATATACCATGTCATGTCAGATACTTCATTTAAGTGTTTCAAACAGCTTTACAAAATACACCATGTAATGTCAGATACTTCATTTAAATGTTTCAAATAGCTGTACAAAATATACCATGTGATGTCAGATACTTTATTTAAATGCTTCAAACAGCTATACAAAATCACTATGTAATGTCAGATACTTCATTTAAATGTTTCAAACAGCTTAACAAAATACACCATTTGATGTCAGATACTTCAGTTTAATGTGATGTCAGAAACTTCATTTAAATGTTTCAAACAGCTTAACAAAACACACCATTTGATGTCAGATACTTTATTTAAATGCTTCAAACAGCTTTACAAAATATGCCATGTGATGTCAGATACTTCATTTAAATGTGATATCAGAAACTTCATTTAAATGTTTCAAACAGCTTTACAAAATATACCATGTGATGTCAGATACTTCATTTAAACGTGTTGTCAGAAACTTCATTTAAATGTGATGTCAGAAACTTCATTTAAATGTTTCAAACAAATTTACAAAATATACCATGTGATGTCAGAAACTTCATTTAAATGTGGTGTCAGAAACTTCATTTAAAAGTTTCAAACAGCTTTACAAAATATACCATGTGATGTCAGATACTTCATTTAAATGTCATGTCAGATACTTCATTTGAATGTTTCAAACAGCTTTACAAAATATACCATGTAATGTCAGATACTTCATTTAAATGTGATGTCAGAAACTTCATTTAAATGTTTCAACAGCTTTACAAAATATACCATGTAATGTCAGATACTTCATTTAAATGTGATGTAAGAAACTTCATTTAAATGTTTCAAACAGCATTACAAAATATACCATGTGATGTCAGATACTTCATTTAAATGTGATGTCAGAAACTTCATTTAAATGTTTCAAACAGTTTTACAAAATATCCCATGTGATGTCAGAAACTTCATTTAAATGTTTCAAACAGATTTACAAAATATACCATGTGATGTCAGATACCTTATTTAAATGTTTCAAACAGCTATACAAAATACACCATGTAATGTCAGATACTTCATTTAAATGTTTCAAATAGCTGTACAAAATATACCATGCAATGTCAGATACTTAATTTAAATGTTTCAAACAGCTATACAAAATACACCATGTAATGTCAGATACTTCATTTAAATGTTTCAAACAGTTTTACAAAATATCCCATGTGATGTCAGAAACTTCATTTAAATGTTTCAAACAGATTTACAAAATATACCATGTGATGTCAGATACCTTATTTAAATGTTTCAAACAGCTATACAAAATACACCATGTAATGTCAGATACTTCATTTAAATGTTTCAAATAGCTGTACAAAATATACCATGTGATGTCAGATACTTCTTGTTTCAAACAGCTATACAAAATATACCATTTGATCTCAGGTACTTCTTTTAAATGTTTCAACAGCTATACAAAATGCACCATGTGATGTCAGATACTTCTTTTAAATGTTTCAAACAGCTATACAAAATATGCCATGTGATGTCATATACTTCATTTAAATGTGATGTTAGAAACTTCATTTAGATTTACAAATATACCATGTGCTGTCAGAAACTTTATTTAAATGTTTCAAACAGCTTTACAAAATATACCATGTGATGTCAGAAATTCATTTAAATGTGATGTCAGAAACTTCATTTGAATGTTTCGAACAACTTTACAAAATACACCATGTGATGTCAGATACTTCATTTAAATGTGACATCAGAAACTTCATTTAAAAGTTTCAAACAGCTTTACAAAATATGCCATGTGATGTCAGATACTTCATTTAAATGTTTCAAACAGCTATACAAAATACACCATGTGATGTCAGATACTTCATTTAAATGCTTCAAACAGCTATACAAAATACACCATGTGATGTCAGATACTTCATTTAAATGTTTCAAACAGCTATACAAAATACACCATGTGATGTCAGATACTTCATTTAAATGTGGTGTCAGAAACTTCATTTAAATGTTTCAAACATTTTTCAAAATACACCATGTGATGTCAGATATTTCATTTAAATGTTTCAAACAGCTTTACAAAATAAACCATGTTATGTCAGATACTTCATTTAAATGTGATATCAGAAACTTCATTTAAATGTTTCAAACAGCTTTACAAAATATACCATGTGATGTCAGATACTTCATTTAAACGTGATGTCAGAAACTTCATTTAAAAGTTTCAAACAGATTTACAAAATATACCATGTGATGTCAGATACTTCATTTAAACGTGATGTCAGAAACTTCATTTAAAAGTTTCAAACAGATTTACAAAATATACCATGGGATGTCAGATACTTTATTTAAATGCTTTAAACAGCTTTACAAAAGACACTGTATGATGTCAAATATTTTTGGTTCAAATGGCTTAGCAAGATACAGGATGATATATGTCCTCTTTATGTGTTTCAAACAGCTTGATGAAATACACCATTCAATGTCACATATTCATTTCAATGATTAATAAATCAGCTGCACTAGTTTTTTTTCTTGTTTTTTTTTGGCGGGGATGGGGTGGGGGGAGTGAGGATCGGGGTTTGGTAGGGTACATGTTTGGATAAGCCTTGATTCATAAATAAGTGGTGTACATTTCAAACTGCTGTATCCCCCATTAATGTCATAATTTTCATTTTGTATCTCAAAATCTTACAATAAAAGATCACCTGATGATATACAGAAATTTCAACATGTGAGAATAAATATGATTAACAAAATACAGTGTTTTTAAGACCTTTTTCAAACTTTCTGTTTTTGCTTTTTATCATTTTTTATTTAAATAGTGACAGAATTGAAAAAAAAATTGTCTATTTAAAAAGTTCAATGTTTAATTATAATTAATTAAAGGTTGATTTTAAGTATAGATTTTAGTATTGGTTTGAAAAAGATACATGTATAACAAGAGAAAATATGAATATACAGGTGGTCTTTATTGTTTGTTTTTGGTCCTGTTGGTAAAGCTTAATTTTGGACAAAAAAAATAGACAGTTCAGTTCTTTTTTTCATCAAAACCTACATAAATGAACTTACTAATTAAATAACTGGGTATGTGAATTTTATGATTTTAATATGTTGATATTGTAAAAATTTGAAGGAGAAAAGAAGAAGAGTAAATACATAAAAAATAAGGCAGAGTTTTTGTGAATATTTTATTACACAGACTTTTGTAATTTTTTCTTTTATATTGATTTATATGTGTCCAAAATTATGCTTCTACTTACGATTTTTTCTGTTAATCAACAAAGATCAATAAAATAAATTTTTCATAAAACTTGTTATAACTTAATACTTGAAACATGTTTAATTTAGCTTGTTTAGGATTAAAAACTTAAAGCTTATTTGAACTAAAATGGAGTCTATTTCCATGAATTAACCAGTACATGTTTCAAAAAAGAAAACACAGTTGTAACCCTGGAAGTACATCTGAAATCCATGATCCCTGGGTTGCGAGGCAGACACCTTAACCACTAGACTAATGCCTCTTTGCTATAAAGCATCAATCTTAAATGTGAGATAATTTAAAAAGAAACAGTGAAATTATTAAACACTTGAAAATTTTATATAGTTACATGTATATCTATATAATCAGTACATTTATTCAAGCAAGTGATTAGATTATTGTGTTATTGTATTATCTCAGTAATCTGTTACAAATAAAATAGAGGTGTCTGTGGCTGAGTGGATAAAGTTGTTGACTTCAAACCGCTTGCCCCTCACTGCTGTGGGTTCCAATCATGACAGGGACTTTGAATTCTTTCATGATAGGAAGCTATCCAGCTAGCTTATTGAAGGTTGGTGGTTCTACACAGTTGCCCATTCATGCCTTAAACACAGAAGGCCACCTGAGGTTTTCTCCACCAGTAAACTGGAAAGTCGCCATATGACCTATACTAGCTGTGTTTATGTGACATAAAAGCCAACCAAAAAAAAAAAAGAAAATCTATTGCATGAAATTTATGTCATAATTATAAATTTTCTATTAATGAACTTGTATATATTTAACAGCGTTTCTACGTTGCAACATCTCGTCAGCTAAAAAGATTGGAGTCTGTGAGCAGATCCCCAATCTACTCTCACTTTGGGGAGACTGTCACAGGTGTAACTACAGTCAGAGCCTACAGACAACAGGAGCGCTTTATAGAGACATCAGACAATAAAGTAGATGATAATTTAGAATGTCACTATCCTACCATCATATCTAATAGGTAATTACTTTTAATGCAAATAAAACACAACTGCTGACTAATTTATATGCTCCCACTTCAAAAGTGAGGAGCATTCTATGACTGGGTTGTCCATTCATACATATATTACACATGGTATAGATACTTATGTGGCTAAAATAACAATAAATTTCATTTGATGATATTCATTTAGTAGAATGTTATGTGGTTACTCTTCCTTTTATGGCTTAAAGGAACAAATGGGAGAGCAAAAAGTTAACCACTTCAGTACCGAAATTTTAGGATGTTGGTTTGCACATTCATACAATTAATGTTTTTTCCTCATTTTAGACTTAACAAAGTAAGGTATTCTGCTAGCATGCAGATGGTTGAAGGTACTACTAGGATGTCAGATTGTGCCGGAAGTGATAAATAGAGGGACATATGAAGACTTCTTTAACAATTTTAATACTAAAAAGTTCCTACCAAAAAAGCTGATTATATATTTCTGTTTAGACATTTTAATCTTACCTGCGTTATTGTTTTGTTTTTTGTAGCTAAATAACGAGACATATTTTGTTTTAAACTGAATTAACTGGTCAAAGTTTTTTTTTCCTTTACAATTTTAGGTGGCTAGCTATACGTTTGGAGTTTGTAGGGAACTGTATCTTGTTCTTTGCGGCACTGTTTGCTGTTATTGCACGAAATGACCTCTCACCTGGTATTGTCGGTCTGTCCATCACATATGCTCTCAATGTAAGTATATATTAAACAATTTTAATGGTGCATTTCCTAAATAAATTTGCAGGAATAGTACACTGCGTTTATAATATAATACGAAATGTAGCAAAAAATATTATATTTCTTATTTAATATACCCTGTACATAATGATTTAATACATAAAATCATTTGTAAATAATTTGTATATTGCGCATCAACTTTTTATTTTTTTTTTGTAATTTTTATGAAGAAATTAAAAACTATATAATGTGAACAGGTGACCCAAACATTGAACTGGATGGTACGTATGACAACAGAGTTAGAGACAAACATTGTTGCTGTAGAGAGAGTGAAGGAATATTCTGAAACTCCCACTGAGGTATACTGCAAACTTTGTTCATCATTTTCATAGGCTTTATTCTTATAAAATATATTTAATTTTCAGATTACTGGATATATTAATAGAAATAAATTAGTTTTTTTCCCCCATTAAAATAGTTAGTTCTCAGATAACTGCATATCTTGATAAAAATAAATCGGAAGAAAAGCAATCTTTTTTTGCAATTGTCATTCTCACATTGTGACCATTGACATTTATTAATTTTGCATTGTGTAAAATAGAAAAGAGAATGCAGAGCATTGCAAATACTGATTAAAACTTCAAAGCTTGCTATGAATTGGACCTTTAATTCAAGGTCAAATTTGAAGTTATTGGAAATATATTGTGTCAACCATGTGTTTGAATGAAGTGTTAGTATAATATTTGTAATTGATCATTATGTATCACAGGCTGCATGGGAAGTTGAAGATAAACGACCCTCCGAGAATTGGCCCGAGAAAGGTGAGGTGAAGTTTGTAGACTATGGTACTAGATACAGAGAGGGGCTTGATCTTGTCATTAAAGGTATCGACTGTACTGTGAAACCTGGAGAAAAAGTAAGTTATTAATATATTATAACTTATGTTCTATATGACCTTATATGATTATATTTGGCCCTCATGGACCAAGTGGTTAATGTTGCCAACTTCAAATCATATTTCCATCGCTGCGATGGGTTTGAATCCCATCAGGGACCTTGGATTCTTCCATGTGAGATTTAAGTCATCCAACTAGCCCACTGAAGATTGGTGGTGGTTCAACTCAGTTGCCTTGCAATCTTCTTTCTCTACTTTAAGTAAAGCTGGAGAGCCATAGTTACCAGTGTCGGTGTGACGTGAAACAAACAAATTTAAACGACTATAACAATAATTTAAAAAGGAACTTTTCTACAATTTATATGTCAAGTCCTTTATTGTAATGTCATAACTGTCTAATGATATTTTCATTTTTCCAGTATTTTCATCAGTCTGTTAATCATTTTCATATATGAAATTAAATTTGACAATAATTACTTATCAATGCTATAATAAGCCCATCTTTGATAATTAGAAAAAATTTATGTCTGCATTAACTATCAAAATAATGAGAATTGATTGTTTCAGGTTGGAATAGTAGGTCGCACAGGAGCTGGAAAGTCTTCCCTGACACTTGCTTTGTTCCGTATTATAGAACCAGCCCAGGGACATATTATTATAGATGGTGTAAATATTGGGGAAATAGGCTTACATGATCTACGTAGCAAACTTACAATCATACCACAGGTTGGTAACAATTTTTACCAGTCTGATTTAACCTCAGACTACTAGTTTTTTAGCTCACCTGTCACAAAGTGACAGGGTGAGCTTTTGTGATCGCTTTTCGTCCGGCGTCCGTCCGTCCGTCCGTCGTCCGTCCGTCGTCCGTCCGTAAACTTTTGCTTTAAATGACATCTCCTCATAAACCACTGAGCCAATTTCATCCAAACTTCACAGGAATGTTCCTTTGGTGGTCACCTTTAAAAATTGTTCAAAGAATTTAATTCCATGCAGAACTCTGGTTGCCATGGCAACCGAAAGAAAAATCTTTAAATATCTTCTTTTAAACAATCCTAAGAGCTAGAGCTTAGATATTTGGCATGAAACATCTTCTAATGAGTGTCTACCAAGTTTGTTCAAATAAAAGCCCTGGGGTCAAAATTGGCCCCGCCCCCGGGGGGTCATTGATTTTCCCTATATGCATATAGTAAAAACTTAAAAGATCTTCTTTTAAAGAACTGTAAGAGCTAGAGCTAAGATTTTTGGCATGGAACATCTTCTAGTGAGTGTCTACCAAGTTTGTTCAAATAAAAGCCCTGGGGTCAAAATTGGCCCCGCCCCGGGGGGTCATTGATTTTCCCTATATGCATATAGTAAACACTTAAAAAATCTTCCTTTAAAGAACTGTAAGAGCTAGAGCTTAGATATTTGGCATGAAACATCTTCTAGTGAATGTCTACCAAGTTTGTTCAAATAAAAGCCCTGGGGTCAAAATTGGCCCCGCCCCAGGGGGTCATTGATTTTCTCTATATGCATAAAGTAAAAACTTAAAAAATCTTCTTTTAAACAACCCAAAGAGCTAGAGCTTAGATATTTGGCATGAAACATCTTCTAGTGAATGTCTACCAAGTTTGTTCAAATAAAAGCCCTGGGGTCAAAATTGGCCCCGCCCTGGGGGTAATTGATTTTCCCTATATGCATATAGTTTAAACTTAAAAAATCTTCTTTTAAAGAACCGTAAGAGCTAGAGCTTAGATATTTGGCATAAAATATCTTCTAGTAAATGTCTACCAAGTTTGTTCAAATAAAAGCCCTGGGGTCAAAATTGGCCCCGCCCCAGGGGGTCATTGATTTTCCCTATATGCATATAGTAAAAACTTAAAAAATCTTCTTTTAAAGAACTGTAAGAGCTAAAGCTTATATATTTGGCATGAAACATCTTCTAGTGAATGTCTACCAAGTTTGTTCAAATAAAACCCCTGGGGTCCAAATTGGCCCCTCCCCAGGGGTCATTGATTTTCCTTATATGCATATAGTAAAAACTTATAAAATCTTCTTTTAAAGAACCAAAGAGCTAGAGCTAAGATATTTAGCATGAGACATGTTCTAATGGGTGTCTACCAAGTATGTTCAAATAAAAGCCCTGGGGTCAAAACTGGCCCCGCCTGGGGGTCATTGATTTTCCTTATATACATAGCAAAAACTTAAAAATCTTCTTTAAAAAAACCCAAATAACTAGAGTTTAGATATTAAGCATGAAACATCTTTAAGTAAATATCTACAAAGTATGTTCAAATAAAAGCCCAGGGGTCAAAACTGGCCCTGCCCGAGGGGTGTCATTGTTTTTTACTCTATGTGTATAGTAAAAACTTAAAAAATCTTCTTTTAAAAAACCCAATGAGCTAGAACTTAGATGTTTTGCATGAAACATCTTCTTATGGGTGTCTACCAAGTCTGTTCAAATAAACAAATAAAAGCCCTTGGGTAAAAATTGGCCCGGGGGGGGGGGGGATCTATATACAGGTGAGCGACCTCAGGGCCATCATGGCCCTCTTGTTTTTTTAGAATTGTCAAACATGTATTTAATAATGTTTCGATAATGGGTTAAGAGCATGTTAAATGTTTAACAAGTGAAGAAGTAGCACAAAACATGCAGTAATGTGTCGTAAAGGTAGCAAAATCGAACAAAACAAAGTAGTATTTAGACTTCTGTACAATTTACTTATTAACTATAATTATACAAATGGCCAACATAACAAAAGCAGCAAAAGGTAGTCTATGTATATGGCAAATTTGTTAAATTTTTTTTTTGGTTACTGTAACAACATACATGAAATAAAATAGTTTTTGAGTACTGAAAATGTTAGCATTTCTAAGGCATAATGGGACTTTTATCATTTTCATATTGAATTGTATAAAGTAATAATGGTCATACCAGTAGAAATTAAATATTATCAGAAGTTAACAATTGAAAACTTGAATAGTATTTTAGGCTTCATACGTTAAGAATTCTTTAAAATGAAAATTTAAAATTCCAATTGACAAGGAAATGTTTAATAATCTGTTAAATATTTACTACCAGTAATTGAAAATATGTAGGATTAGAATTCCTAATCTTATACTTTTACTGTAAAAATATACTAAGTTGGGGAAAAGCTTGTAAATATTCATTTAAAGATTTTAAATTTTTCAATATGAAAAAAAAAGTTCATACAATCTTGAGATGAGATAGCATCTTTAAATGATTTGCAATTGGGATATCTATCAGTGCTAAAAGCTGTACAATTATTTCATATAATTTCTTTTATCTAATTTGTTTTAAAACATTTTAGGAGCCAGTATTATTTTCTGGAACATTGAGGATGAATCTTGATCCATTTGATGAGCATACAGATGATGCTGTATGGACAGCTTTAGAACACGCCCATCTTAAAGCATTTGTAGCAGAATTACCCACAAAGCTCGAGCATGAATGTACAGAAGGAGGAGAAAATCTCAGGTACGTTTTTAGTCTTTGGTAAAATATAAATTTTTATGTTAGACATAATTGTTTTGAGAGAGAAAAAAATTTAATGCAGGATTAAAGTTCTCATGTATTGTAAGCTTGGACCTACCTCACAAATTTTTCTACATGCTATATTAGGCTTTTTAAAAATGAGTTGCAAATCTTATGAATAGTAAGTAAAGGTATGATTTTCTTTACTTTCATGTGAAATCCATTTTAAACTATAAAACTTCTTGCTAAAATAACTTTTGAGTTTGGTTATATGGGGTGTCGATGGCTGAGTGATTAAGGTTAAGGACTTCAAACCACTTTACCTCACCGCTGTGGGTTGAATCTGACAGGGACTTTGGATTCATCCATATCAGGAAGCTATCCAGCTAACTTCCGAAACATTGGTGCCATTTGTGCCTGAAATAATGCAGAGGTATTTCTCCAAGTAAAGCTGGAAAGTCGCCATATGACATATTCTGTGTTGGTGCAATGTAATACCCAACCAAAAAAATGTATTGGTTACATAAATTATCACCCTGTTAAATTGCATGTCTTTTAATGGATATGCTCTGATTTAAATTTAAAATGTTGTATTGATAAAAAGATGTGTTAAATTATTAAATGTAAGCAGCTAGCAGTATAGAGACAGGGTAGTAGTGTTTTATATTGCTTGGGTTATATGAAACAAGTATCTAATTGTAACAATCATTTACAGTGTTGGTCAAAGACAGCTGGTATGTTTAGCAAGAGCGTTATTACGGAAGACAAAAATACTGATACTGGACGAGGCGACAGCTGCCGTAGACTTGGAAACAGATGATCTGATCCAGCATACTATACGTACAGAATTCAGTGATGCCACAGTACTTACAATAGCTCATAGACTTAACACTATCATGGATTATACAAGGTAAGGTTTCTATGTCAAGATATAGCTAGGTATAATTATATGACAATAAATAATCTTGGTTGTGATATAACAGTACATTAACCCCCACCACATATTGTGAAGGGGGGCTATACTGAAATCACTTTCAGTCATTCAGTCCATCTTCATGGTAACTACTCTATAACTCTTATATCCTTTGATAGAGATTTGTTCAAACTTTGCACAAAAGTGTTCAGTGGGTTTTGACTAAGGTGTCAGTGTTCTGTTTAAAACCATGCTGAGTAACCAGGTCAAGGTCAACCTTGAATTTGAAGTCGGACAATTTTGTGTCCATTCTAAACATCTTTTACACTTTGAAGGATTTTTTTTTCAAATTTGGCATGCATGTCCTTCTCAACCAGTGAATTTGTAGAACACATTCTGCAATAGGTGTCAGCTCAAGTTTAAGGTCACACGTTACTTTTTGCTGTTTTAAAAATGGTTATATGAATATACTTACAGAGTTATGGTTCTTGATCAAGGAAAAATTAAAGAGTTCCAGAGCCCACAAGAGCTGTTACAGGATAAAGATAGTATATTCTATGGAATGGCCGCAGATGCAGGTCTTGTGTAAATATTTAGGTGCTCAGATATATATATGTTTTGTGATTGTTTTGTTTTATAAATGGGTATGACAATTTTAAAGGTGATTTTTTTTCTTTTCCTTCAATTTAGTGAGGGAAAAAAGCAAACATTTTTTTTTTAAATAGAGGACAGTAGTGTGCAAAGTATTTGGAAAATTATTTTGATATTTTAGTCAATGATAGTATTGATATAAAACACACAGAGAACTGAGCTTTTAATTGCATAAAGTCTGATACAGGTTGTAAATTTTTCATTACAAAGTTAGTTTATATCAGATTATATTTCTATTTCTTATATTGTATAAAAAAATTATTAAAGTTCTTTAATAAGACTTTACTTTAATTAGAAAACATTTAAGCTCGCTATTTTTAATTTAATGTTTTAACTTTTTATTGTTTATATATATATAATTCCAAACAAAAGTCCTTGTAAATCCGGTGTAGTTATTCAAAGATTTTTTCAGATTTTATTTTGCAAATGTTAATATAAACTACAAAATTAATATACATGGCTTTAAGTGTTTAAGTTGGAGATTTTAAAGTTGTTTATCTGATAATTTTTATCACCATTATTTATTACATGACCATCACTTTGTCTCATTTTTAGCTTGCCTTTTTCTAAGAAAAAAAAGTCGATTGCTGCGGCGTTGTCGTCGTGTAAAAACTTAAATGTAGCCCATAATTCATTCAAACATTTCTAAAGTTATCAACATGATACTTGGAATACTTGCTTATCATGACAAGATGCAGCTGATAGACAAAGGGCATAATTATGAATAATGAAGATTATTTTAGAGTTATGCCCCTTTTTAACTTAGAATTTTTAACAGAAGAGTGTTAACATCGCATGCAGTGCTCTTGTCTTTCTTTATTCTGCAAAATAAATTGTTGTTACTTTTATATTGTAAAAATTAGGATTAAAATTTGTTGTTCTTCATGTTCTATTCTTAGTGGCCTTTGCTTCATGGATATTAAACAAAATATTTTTGTAAACATGTCCATAGCTTTAATATTTGCTCTTCCAATTATTCTAGCAACATTGATTATGTATATATGCCACTGTCTAAGACATTTAGAGCCAAAGATAGCATATTTTCAGTAACTATTTTGCAATACAGCATATTTTTTGTAAGTTTTTTTGCAAGTATTGTATCTTAATGAAGGGGAGATATCATACATCCTGTTCTAGTAGACTACAATAAGTTAACTTGACCATTGCTTTTGTATATGTAAGTCTTGCATAAACATGTATGTAACTTTTAGTTTGCAGGTTTCTTTTATAAAAATCATTAGAAAGTTGAAAATAATGTAATACACATGTTTACTTTGATAGGCTGATTAAAAGATATGTTTTATTTTTAGCTCGACTATTCGATAAGAATAAGTAGAGCTATTGCAGTCACCCGAGCGTCGGAGTCCGCGTCGGCGTAACCACTTATGTTAAAGTTTTTGTAATAGTTCAAATATTTTCAAAGTCCATTGACATATGGCTTTGAAACTTTGCACACTTGTTCACCATCATGACCCCAACCTGTAAACAGGAGGAGGTAACTCTATCAAGCATTTTGACAGAATTATGCCCCTTTTTCGACTTAGAATTTACGTTAAAGTTTTTGTAATAGTTCAAATATTTTCAAAGTCCATTGACATATGGCTTTGAAACTTTGCAAACTTGTTCAACATCATGACCCCAACCTGTAAACAGGAGGAGGTAACTCTATCGAGCATTTTTACAGAATTATGCCCCTTTTTCGACTTAGAATTTACGTTAAAAGTTTTTGTAATAGTTCAAATATTTTCAAAGTCCATTGACATATGGCTTTGAAACTTTGCACACTTGTTCAACATCATGACCCCAACCTGTAAACAGGAGGAGGTAACTCTATCAAGCATTTTGACAGAATTATGCCCCTTTTTCGACTTAGAATTTACGTTAAAGTTTTTGTAATAGTTCAAATATTTTCAAAGTCCATTGACATATGGCTTTGAAACTTTGCACACTTGTTCACCATCATGACCCCAACCTGGAAACAGGTGGAGGTAACTCTATCAAGCATTTTGACAGAATTATGCCCCTTTTTCGACTTAGAATTTACGTTAAAGTTTTTGTAATAGTTCAAATATTTTCACAGTCCATTGACATATGGCTTTGAAACTTTGCACACTTGTTCACCATCATGACCCCAACCTGTAAACAGGAGGAGGTAACTCTATCAAGCATTTTGACAGAATTATGCCCCTTTTTCGACTTAGAATTTACGTTAAAGTTTTTGTAATAGTTCAAATATTTTCAAAGTCCATTGACATATGGCTTTGAAACTTTGCACACTTGTTCAACATCATGACCCCAACCTGTAAACAGGAGGAGGTAACTCTATCAAGCATTTTGACAGAATTATGCCCCTTTTTCGACTTAGAATTTACGTTAAAGTTTTTGTAATAGTTCAAATATTTTCAAAGTCCATTGACATATGGCTTTGAAACTTTGCACACTTGTTCACCATCATGACCCCAACCTGGAAACAGGTGGAGGTAACTCTATCAAGCATTTTGACAGAATTATGCCCCTTTTTCGACTTAGAATTTACGTTAAAGTTTTTGTAATAGTTCAAATATTTTCACAGTCCATTGACATATGGCTTTGAAACTTTGCACACTTGTTCACCATCATGACCCCAACCTGTAAACAGGAGGAGGTAACTCTATCAAGCATTTTGACAGAATTATGCCCCTTTTTCGACTTAGAATTTACGTTAAAGTTTTTGTAATAGTTCAAATATTTTCAAAGTCCATTGACATATGGCTTTGAAACTTTGCACACTTGTTCACCATCATGACCCCAACCTGTAAACAGGAGGAGGTAACTCTATCAAGCATTTTTTTTACTATCAAGCACTAAGAATAGTCGAGCGTTGCTGTCCTACCGACAGCTCTTGTTTTGGTTTTTGTTGTTGTTTTTTTTGTGTTTTTTTTTAACATTTAGATATATATTATGTTATTTTATTTTCCAAGATAAAAGTGTTAACTTCAGCTTAAAGATAAATATAAGAAATTTACCATTACAAATCTTTACAGAAAAATTGTTTGCTTAATCACTTGAGAAAGACTTTAAGATTTTTTAGATTTGCAGGCCGATAAATTGTGGTAATCTAAATTTCAGTCTTGTTTGTTTTTGGGTTTTTTTTTGTTATATGTAATCACAATTCAGGTATGTAACATATAATAATCACTGACTTGTACCTTTTATATTGAAAAATTGATTGAGCACAATATCAATGGAACTTACACATCTGTAAGTTATACTTACGTAGGCGAAAAAAAGAAGTATAATCAATTGTATAGAACAACATTAGCAATAAATGATTTTGGTTATTAGGGGTAAATTAGTAAACTATACTAGTAAATTCTGTTATATTTTATATAATCATAGCATTTACCTAGTCATGGGTTATCACCGTTGAGTTACATATCATTTTGCTTTTCTTTAAGTCAATGTTTCCGGTCAAGTTATATTTTACATAAAAAATTATGTATTTATTTGTATAGTGTATTTAATAGAACCCTGTAGATGCAAGAAAGATAAATGTTTTATTTTATATAATTTCTGACAGGTTTTAAATACCAGTAATTTTGAGTACAGTTTAAAGTTTTGATTTTATTTGCTTACATGTACATATTGATTTGCAAACACTTACTCTGGATCTGAACTTTTTTTTATTATGAATTTTTTTTTTTAAATTGTACAGTAAAAATTTTAAAAAGTATTCAAGATATCATGACAATTTCCCCTTTAATCCATTGGTAATGTCATTTTGTTACTTGTTTTAAATTTAGCAGATAAATATAGCAGTTAGTATTAAGCAGTGTGTTTAATTAATTAGAAACAGAAATAGCCTCAACTTATACTGCTATGTAAATTGGCCTTCATGAATGACTTATAATACTTATTTTTCAACCTCTTGCTGTCATCTACAGATGCCGGTCTTTTTATGGCTATCAGATAGCTTACAACAATATTTTTTATGCCCCCGCCATGTAATGGCCGGGGCATATAGTGTTACCCTGTTCCGTCCTTCCGTCCTTCCGTCATTCCGTCCTTCCGTCATTCCGTCATTCCGTCATTCTGTCATTCCGTCATCATCAGTTTCCGTTCATTATCTTAGTAACGGTTGCACACATTCAACTCAAATTTGACATATGGATATGTCATGAGAAAATACAGGTCAAGTTCGAATTTGGTCATGGTTCGATGATTTTTGGCAGAGTTATGCCCCTTTTACTTTAAAATAATATGAAATTTTCAGTTTCCGTTCATTATCTCCCCAACGATACAACACATTCAACTCAAACTTGACATATGGATATGTCATGAGAAAATACAGGTCAAGTTCAAATTTGGTCATGGTTCGATGATTTTTGGCAGAGTTATGCCCCTTTTACTTTGAAAATAATATGAAATTTTCAGTTTCCGTTCATTATCTCCCCAAAGGTACAACACATTCAACTCAAATTTGACATATGGATATGTCTTGAGAAAATACAGGTCAAGTTTGAATTTGGTCATGGTTCGATGATTTTTGGCAGAGTTAATGCCCCTTTCACTTTGAAAATAATATGAAATTTTCAGTTTCCATTCATTATCTCCCCAACGGTACAAACACATTCAACTCAAACTTGACATATGGATACATCAAAAGGAATGCGCAGGTCAAGTTCGAATTTGGTCGTGGTTCAATGATTTTTGGCAGAGTTATGCCCCTTTCACTTTGAAAATAATATGAAATTTTCAGTTTCTGTTTATTATCTCCCCAACAGTACAACACATTCAACTCAAATTAGACATATGGATATGTTTTTGGAATGCCCAGGCCAAGTTAGAATTTGGTCATGGTTCAATGATTTTTGGCAGAGTAATGCCCCTTTTACTTTGAAAATAATATGAAATTTACAGTTTCTGTTCATTATCTACCCAACAGTGTTACATATTCAACTCAAATTTGACATATGGATATGTCAAAGGAATGGGCAGGTCAAGTTGGAATTTGGTCATGGTTCGATGATTTTTTGGCAGAGTTATGTCCCTTTCACTTTGAAAATAATATAGATACATCTTAGGAATAAGCAGTTTAAGTTTGAATTTGGTCGTGGTTCAATGATTTTGGACAAACTTATCTTTCTTGAATGTTTGAAAAATTTTGAACTTTCAGTTTCAGCACTCATACTTTTGTGGAAAGTTTGAATTTGGTCGTGGTTCAATGATTTTGGACAAACTTATCTTTCTTGAATGTTGGAAAATTTTTGAACTTTCAGTTTCAGCACTCATACTTTTGTGGAAATGTATGTAGCCATTATTTTGGCTACAAATATGAAATATGCTATTTTCAAAAGGTTAAGACTGAATAATTTCAGTGCTTTGAACATTGTATGAAAATGGTTTGTGTTAACATTGAAAAGTTTTAAGGGCTTTGAACTGCAAATGAAAAAAATAATTTGTGCAAACAAATTTGGAACTAAATATTATAACATATGAAATTTTGGCTGCATGCGGGGGCATCCGTGGCATGATGACACATTTCTAGTTTTTTAAATAGCCACTGTGTCATTTTAGTGTGATCGTAAGAGATGACTAAACTGGTTCAAATGACTGGAGTCTATGCATCACTTAGCTCCAGCAGGTGAGGTGGTTTTGACCCCTGTTGTTACTTTTAAGTTTGTTACACCCAAGGTGAGCCAAAATCATCTCTTTTAGCACCATATGACCTAAATGGTGTTGTTGCACCATAAAACCAAACAAACAAAAGCTTTGTCGAAATGTCTCTTGTGCATGAAATGATGGTACCACTTTTAAGTCATTCTTGATCACTAGATGTAACAATCTTAGTATGAAAGGAATCCAGAATCATTCAACAGTTCAGATGTTTTTTGTTAAATTGTCTCATGGTTTAAATAAGACCCAAGTTTTCTCATGGTTAGAATTAGACCAAGTTTTCTCATGGTTAGAATTAGACCAAACAAATTATGGTACTTTATACATGTTTATATGAGAAATTTAGCATAGGGTAAATAAATTCACTGTTATATTATTTATTTCTGTTATATAAGTTTTATTTTCTTTATTACATATAGCTTTAAATAAACTCCCATTAATAAAGGCAGCATGTAGTTTTAAGTCATTTAGAATTAGGTTAAATTTTGTTACAGTGACGGTCATCAATAGAGCACCATAATGATTTACTTCATGGGGCAACTGTAGTGCATATTATAAAATTATTTCAGTAGTGATGTCCCTATTCAACTTTTCATTAGTGTCGTGTGATTGTTGAGGGGTGGGACGACAGTTTAATCAATCCATGACTGTAAGGGCCATACTCAGCTTTGGTAAAGACAATCTTTCCTTTTTGTCATTAAGAAATTTAAATGAGTATCTTTTATATAGCTACTTAGGGACATAAAACAATTAACATTTTTCATAGACATAAATACATAGAAATTAAAGTAAGATTATATCTCAATCGGAATATGTTCTACCTCTATCATTCAGGAATGTTCAGAATTGGGATGCTTGTTTTTCTTCTGAAACTTGTTAACTTTTTATGTCAAAAACTTGAAATATTTTACTGTAAAGCAACAGAGTGAGAATTTGGTATTGGAAAGTTAGTGTTTTTTACTCTTTTTTTATTTTGGCAATAAGTATTAACTTTCTTAACAGTTCACACTATTCAAACCTTATGCCGAGATGTAGAATATATATTCTGATACATTAAAAGCATGTTAACATCCTTCATTGATCATGACGAGGGAAAATCTCAGTTATACATATAGGTGTGTCACTCAAATATTGATTTGAAACATATATGTCCATACAGTATGTAAGGTTATGACATGACAAATCTTGTTCAAGTATTTTTATGTTTTCTTATACAATATCATGAAAACTGTCTATTCTGTGCATGTGTTATATATTTATAGTTTATTCAATATTCAGTTATATTTTCTAAATCTGCTTTCTCTGTATTGAATGTCATTTTCGTTCCATACTATATATAAACAGTTACATGTATGATGTGACACTTGAGCATTTTTATTCGAATTTAATAGCTACAATGCCTGAAATTATTGTCAGACTGAGACCCTAAAACTTCAAATTGCATCTGCAAAGATCCACTTAGTATTGTTTTATTTTATGTCACTTATTATTCTCCATGACTTTGAACTTTTTGTGATAAAATCACAATATTTTTTCTCTGATTTGGCATTTTGATTGTATGAATATAAATAAGTAAAAGAATTTTACCTTTATCCTTTTAACAATTGATCTGATGAATTTTGAAGTAATTGGCCTTAAGCCACCAGTAAAGTTCCAGGCCAGGGCCTGTACTCAATTTTTGCATTTTTGATTTTGAAAACCCTAAATTTTGAATAGACTGTTTCAAATTCAAACCTTGGCAAATTTATTACACAATTTCAGAAGGTCAATGGTTAAAGTATTTTCCGGTGTGGGCATATATTTTTCTCTGGTTCAGTCTTGTACAGTCTACAAATGTAGTTGTAGTTGTTGTTTGAAATTATATATAATCCTGTGGAATGATTGGTTTAAAAGAGGCAGTTATTACAAACATATATTTTCTTATATATAGATAGTTACAGTTTTCTCCAATAGATATTATCCGGAACTCAGCAAAAGTGGGTTTCTCCAAGCTAATCCCAGGGTACAAACAAATTTTTACCGTTTTAGCTTCACTGTGCAATGCCAGTCACAGTAGTTTAGTCAACCTGTTGCGCTTATTTTCGAAGCTGTAGCTGTAAAAGCTAGTTTGTACCCCCAGGTTAGCTTGGGGAAAACCCAAAATGTTCTGAATTCCAGAGTTAGTCTATTAGAAACTAAGAATAGGCATAGATTCTAATCATTAGCAAATTTTTGAATTGAAAAATTAATTTTTGGTGTAATCACTATGCTCATAGCAATGTTAGTACATGCTTAATGTAGCTGTTGATCATTGAAAATAATTCACAAAGTTGATGATTTTTAATTTTTAATTCAGTTTGATTTTTGGGGAAGATATGGCAATTTTAAAACAATCGTGATTTTAATACAGTAACACATGTAAATGTTGATTGTAATAATAAATGATAGCTTCACATAGTGTTTGTAATCTATTTGTTTATCTATGTTTATGTATCACTAAAGAGTAACATCCTGAAAGTTGACAAGTTGGATCTATTTTTTTTTCTCATTAAATAATTCTTATACCGATAATGATACAATAGTAATTATCAGTTCCAATATTTTTGTTTTGAAAATTGAATAAACCTACATAAAATTTATATCATAGATCTGGGTAGATATTTATTATGCTTGATAGAATCATGCATTACAAAGTTAGGGACCCTTAACCTGCTAAATGGACTTGCCCAGTTTCTATTTTAAGGACAGTCTTATTTTGATTTGAGGGTATGGTGATGAAAATTTAAAGTAAATCAATCAACAGTACATTGTCAGATACCCATGGTTGATTAACATGTAGCATAACATGTAATCAACCGTGGGTAAAATTAATCAAATTGCTTCGATATACAGCAACAGGTGCGTATAATATCGACCAATGAAATCGTGTTTAGCAAATTTATATTCTTTGACAGCACCGGTACATTATAGGTCATATGGCGACGTTCCAGCTTTACTGGTGAAGGAAAAACACAATGCCCTTTCTTGCATTATTTCAGGCACATGATAAGCAAGTATTTCCAATTTCATGTTGATAAATGATTGTATAATGGGCTTCATTACAGTTTTTGCACAACAACAATGATGCAGCAATCTTAAAAGCTCTACTTTTTGCTTTTGAAACAGACAAGTTAAAAACTGTACAACAATTCTTCTGTAACATTTTATTTAAGGAAAGAAATATGTTTTAACAAAGAATACGTCTGAAAATTCTTAAGCTAGAAAACAACAGTTGTGACAGAATGACTGCTAGAACTCACCACCTTGCAAATTAACTTTGAAATATCCATCCCAATAAAAAAATACAAAAAAAAAACCAATCTCCTCTAAAAATGCTTATCTAATAAAACTAATTAAAATATCAGTACAGTGTTTATATCTCAACATATAGGATTGGTTTTACTGCATTACTTATATAACACATGAGAAAATCACTTATGACAAGGTCAGGTGACAGAAATCACATAGCCATGTGACAAAAACAAGAATATTTGAGCCGCGTCACGACAAAACCAACACAATGCGTTTGCGACCAGCATGGATCCAGACCAGCCTGCGCATCCGCGCAGTCTGATCAGGATCCATGCAGTTCGCCCACCAACTCTATTACAAGTAGAGAAACCGATAGCGAACAGCATGGATCCTGATCAGACTGCGCGGATGCGCAGGCTGGTCTGGATCCATGCTGGTAGCAAACCCACTATGTTGGTTTTGTCATGACACGCCTCATTAATGTTGAATATAAAAACCTTATTCTATCATTTATTATAGAGCTGCAGCGAAACTAAGTCTAGTGACTGATTAAGTTTTATCATGCCCTATAATACCAAAAATAAAAAGATTTATCCTTCAATCATATCAAACCCCAAATATCTCGAGTCTGACTTTTTTATAAAAAAACAATCATTTTCGCTTGTCTTAATAGATAGTACCAATTGCAAAGATTGCAAAAGAAAATGTGTTGAAATGATAAATGTGAAATGAAACAATATTGTAAAACAAAATAAGAAAAGAATAGACATTAGTAAATTCAAGAAATTCATACAGCCACATCTTGTCAAATGCTCATAAAAAATTTAACAATTAATACATCATTGTTTTGACAATCACAGAATCTGTGGCCAGATGCCAGGAGTACCTCAGAGTCTTTTTAGATGCCAACTGGTTTGACAGTCACCCTTTATTCTTGCTTTCTTTATTTGAGAAAAAGATGTTATTCAAAAATTAAGCCAACAATATTTTCAGCAGACAACAATTGTCAATTGCATGCATACAAATTTTCAATCACTGGAGAAATTTTAAACAGAATAGTGCATGTTTTACATGCCTACGTAAAGTTTATTCTTTAATATTATGTGCAAAATATACAAAGAAAATCATATATAAAATAACTTCAAACAAAACTTGGTTCTAATTAGAATTATCACAAGTACATGTACATTATTACAAACAATAAATCTAGCATTAATGCAACTGAAAAAGAAGGAGTCAATAGGTCAAATAAAAAATATGTTTGAAAATTGACAGACAAAGAATGTTAAACAGCAATAAGAGTTTAAATTTTCCTATACTTACTTAATGTCATATAATTCTTCAAAATCAGTAAATTTTATATAGTAAAACACAGCTGCATTAACAGTACTAACAGCTTACAGTTAACATTATTCCAGAAAAAAAAATATTCCAACAATCAATGAAATGGGTGAAACATTCAAAGAATTCCTCATTAAAATACTACATACATTCTTAATGAAATATTTATTAAAATGAAGTAAATAATTTGAATTCTATGTAAAATGAATATTACCTGTTTTTTTTCAGTACATGGAACACATAGTTTTGACAGTGAAAACAGTAAAGCCTGGATGTTTTCATCAAGAAATTAATATCAAACAAATAATGTATCTAATGATTTCTCATCTCCCTTTTTCATTTCCACAATAACCACCATGTCTTTAACACTTGCAACTCCAGATGGTAGTTCATAGAGGTATTTAGAGAATAATGGTCTAACAAGAAAATGTGTTCAATTAACTCACACACCATTAACACACCAGAATAAAAAAGAACCATAACTATATGGCTAGACAGACAAACGGAAGGCCAGACAATTCAATTAAAAGCAATTAAAACCTTATATTCCAATAAAACATGTTGTCCATGTCATTTAAAAACGTTTCAAGAAGCAGCCAATATTATGTTGCATTCCAGTTAACCATGCAGCCATTATAAACATTATGTTAATAATGTACCTCATTAACAAGAAAATTTTTATATTAACATCTTACAAATATGTTCCATTTCTAAACTTTGCCAATGTGGACATTTCCAAGTTGAACTACGTTGTTATCATATTCTATCATGCAACTGCGTAGTAACCTGACATCAAAAATAAGCCCCGCCCATTTCAACAAACTTCTCCAAAGTTGAAATGTTGACATTTCTAAGTTGTTATCATATTAATAATAAGCTGCCTTCTTCATTGTTGATAATTCATTTCTTTTTCACATCAAGTTTTAAATACATGAGATACTTAATGCCTTAGAAGCATCTTAATTATACAGAAAAAGATATTTACACATATCATCATGCCATTATGAAGTCTACATCATAATGATATCAATCATGTCATGTACGTACACTATAGACAAATTTGATATCATATATCACGGCACATTTACACAAGATGATATCACACGGAACATGTACATTTATTATGGCATTCAGCATTATGCATGTCTTTCCGGATTCTCATGGATACACAACTTAGCCAACTGCGACTTGTTAACATTTCCCCGACAATATCCCATGTGTCTGTCAGTGAGTTGTAACATTCAATTGTGTCATGATATCTAAAAATAGAAATAAAATGTATATTTCAAATTTGATATAGTGGAAAAGTGCACTTAACAGCATCTGTGATCAGTTACTTTATATTTTTTTGGTGTTTTATGTCTTTGTCTTTGATTACTTATAGGTTCCAGAATGTTAAGGGTTAAAAACTTTGTGTCTGAGTGGTTATAATGATAACTTTTAGATAACTTTCCTTTTCCTGCAGTTAAGATCATAATACAAATTATAATCAGGATTTACATTAATAACAGATTAAATAAAAAAGATAACTCCTCCCTCCCTTATAAAATCTCACCACAGCCCTTTAATATTTAAATAAAAGATAACTCCCTCCCTCCCTTATAATCTCACCACGCTCCTTTAAAACAAAAATAGAAAGATAACTCCTCCCTCCCTTATAATCTCACCACTCCCCTTAAAACTTTTAATAGAAAGATAACTCCTCCCTTATAATCTCACCACGACCCTTTAAAATATATATAAAAAGATAACTCCTCCCTCCCTTATAATCACACTACGCCCCTTTGAAATTTAAATAAAAAGATAACTAAAATTATACCTGTCCCAGCCCTCCTCACCACCACAGACGTATATTTTGGAACCTATCACAGCTACGCCTGGTCTGTATCGTCTCTCTAACATCGGTGCTTTCTGTAACCATTCATTTCTCTCGGGATCATAACATTCAACTTTGTTTGTATTCTCTGTAGATGCATGCCAGCCACCTGAAACAATAACAACAAGTGTATATCAGAATAAAGGGATGTTTAATCAAAGCTTAAAGTAACACATTTTCATTAAAATCCCACAATTAATTATGACTAAATAGTCAATACACACATTTTAATCTGACCTCTGCATGTGATCTTGACCTTGGCCATGGGGACCTAAAATTTGAGCACAACACTCCATCTTGCAATGTTATATTAAAATCCATCAATGCATGTAGGACATTTGCCTAAGACAAGTATTTATTTTCCTTAGACCTCCAAGTGTAACCTTGACCTTTGAGCTGCAGTTCTGGTACATGGTGTGACACTTCATCCAGGCATTTAAAATGATAAATTTTGCCTTAATACTCTATATTGTCAAGAACATGTTTATGCATTCACTTCAACTTCACTAAAATACAACATTAATTTCAAAAAAATTTAATACATAGACTTCTTTGTAGTTTTATATAAATTTCAAAAAAAAGACACTTTGCTGTAAAAATAGTTTACCTATAACATAGATGAGACCATCTAGGACACATGAAGCACTGCCAGATCTAGGTATCTGCATGTTAGGACGATCTATCCACATATCTGTCCTTGGATTATAACACTGTACCAGATCTATACCATCCCCATCCTCCAACACTGCACCACCTTTAATAAACAAATATTAACCTATATTACCATTCTACCTTATTATAATATATATACACTTGACTATAGTTATACCTTTAAAAAATTCAAAGGGCTTTATAATTTAATGTATTTAACACTTTTTAGAACAAAACATGCAACATTAAAATTCAATTTAAAAGGATTTCAATAACAAATCATACAATTTTTAAGCAAGTGTTATAATGGTGGCATAGACTGATCTCACTGAAGGTTCCTGCAGCCTAAGAGTCAATAAATTTCACTAAAACTTTTATTTCTGACACCAAGTTTCAGATGTATGCTAACTACTGACATTCAATCTTAATTGATGCTATTCATTCGGTTTCATTTTTGTGGCTAGAAAATTAAAAGAGCTATTGGGTAGCTACTGAACTGCCTGATACAATCCAGGTCAACATGCAACATATTGTCAAAATAGTACACCCTGTATCTTTCTTATTGTTAGCTACTATAATAAATGACTAATGTAAGCTTTCAGATAAATAGAACAGCAAACAAACATAGAAAACTTTGAAAATTAGTCAGGTGTCACATTAAGAAATAATTTATACATCAACATCATTATAAAAACATACCTGTCACATACAGGAGACCTTTGAGAGCCACAACAGCTGGACTAGTGAGTGCAATCTTCATTGGAGGTATAAATGACCATGTGTTCAGTACCGGGTTATACCTCTCTACACTGTCAAGTCTACTAGACCCATCCCAACCTCCTATAGCATATACATGACCGTCCAACATTGCCATTCCTGTGATAATTTACTATATCATAAGAGTGTCTGTGAAAAGTTAACATAAATTTACATGTTGAATTTAATTTTCTGCATTTATTACCTTGAACAACTATATCACACGAAATCTTATTTAATAGACTAATAATTCATCTTAAGGAATAAATACAATCCTGGCCACATGGCCGAGTGGTAAATGTAGCTATTAAATGGATTGTACAAATATTCTGAGTATTGCTGGCCACATGGGTTCAAACAGGGATAAGCTGTTGTTTTCATAAATAAATTTTGTATGAAGTTCAAGTAATTACAATGCTAGAAATTGACATGATATACTGACCTAATTCAGATCTAGCCATATTCATTGGCACCATTTCCATCCATGTATCAAGGTTCTGATCAAATCTCCACATACTTCGGCTAGCAGAACCATCAGGAAACTCACCACCAGCTAAATATATGTAATCTCCTACATAAAATAAAGGCAAAAAATATATAGTATAAATATGTATTTTAACATACAAACAACACAAAAAGTAAATATGTAACTTTGCATTATCAAAGTAATAATTGATAAAAAAATGAGGGTCATGATGGCACACTTATTGCTCACTTGACAATAACGATTCTTAATGTCAAGGAACAGTTAATATTGACAAATATTAATGAAAGGAGGCAGGTTAATAATCTGCATGTGAAATAGTTTACATGATTTCCAAAAGAAATCACTGATTGCTATTGAAAGTCAATGTCAGCTAATAAAATCAAGTGTTGCTACAAGTGTAAGTTTACTCAATTGTTGTTTAAGAAAGTTAATGACTTCTAATGGAAGTCACAGGTTGCTAAGTGGAAGTCAGTGGTTGCTAATTGAAGTCAATGGTTGCTATGGAAGTCACTAGTTGCTAACAGAAGTCAATGTTGCTATGGAAGTTACTGGTTGCTATGGAAGTTACTGGTTGCTATGGGAAGGCAATGGTTGCTTTAGAATTCACTGATAGCAAATGGAAGTCACTTGTTGCTATGACATTCTCAGGTTACTAATAAAGTCAATGGTTGCTTTACTGGTTGCTAATGGAAGTCAATGGTTGCAATGGAAGTCATTGGAGCCTAAGGCAAGTCAGTGGTTGCAATGGAATTCACTGGTTGCTATGGGAAGTCACTAGATGCTACGGAAATCACTGGGTTCTTATTCAGTTTTGACCGGACCCAAGGCTATAATTTGAACAAACTTTGTAGCAGTCAACAGGTTCAGAGGAGAAACAGAGGACAAAATTGTTCAAGTTATTTTCTATAAACATGTAAGGAAAAGAGGAGAAACAGAGGACAAAATTGTTCAAGTTATTTTCTATAAACATGTAAGGAAAACCAATGACCCCTCACACATCAGAGACAGGTCCTTCACAATAGTACAAAATAACAAATCTCAAAAAAATCAGTTTCATAGAAAACACACATGACACATGTACAAAAAAATTCAATTTTGCCAAATTGACAATATGGTTGTTAGGCTTACAACAGTAAAGAACCCATATATAAAGTTATCATGCTATACAAGTTTTTACTGCAGTATATACATGAGAACATACTAGCAAACTATCACAAAACATGATGAAATAATGGGATTTAAAATTGTTTTGCAACAAGCTTGTGGTATGTTATTACCAAAACCATCATAAACGATGGGTTTTTAAATATTTACATGTATATGATATTATTACCAATTCAATATTCATGTAATTAAGTTCCAAAATTTGGAAGTCAAAGACTGCAAAATGTTCGATACTGGTAGTCATACAGGTGAAGAAGGAAAACAGTTATATTTTGGAAGTCACATGCTAAAATTACAAGTAAACGACTGCCAAACTTCCACTAACAGAAGCGCTGTGTAAGTATGAAGCTATTCATTATCAATTTTTTGTTTTGGGAAAAAATTCCTGATAAATAAAATATACAACACTATTTACCTGATGAGACCATGCCATGTTTACTGATAGCAAATGGCAGACAGGCAAGTGGCTTCCACCTACAGGAGCCAGGATCAAACATCTCAACACTGCGCAGCACAACCTTGTCATCCTCACCACCAACGCAGATAATCACCTCCATGTAACCTATAATGGTTTAATTATATCAGATTTGTTTTACATTCAAATAACCTCTTTATACAGTATGTTAACTAGTCATTCTTTTATTTTTCAGTTGAATGAAAAGGAAACCAAGAAGAAATGCTGGTCCTCATTAAAATGCCATAACTTGATGTTGTTTTAAGGTTTATATTCTTTGCAGTTTGCTTTGAAAGATAATAAGTCTATTGACTTGACTATACAGATGTCAGTGCACCATAGAAAAGTTATTTTGGCCATTAACATCGAAGAAGTAAACATAAATAATTTATCTATTGTTTACTTCCCTAAGAAAAATATATCAGAGAAAAAGCCTGGTTATGCTTTGTAACACCATCTGTTTGTTTTCTTATGCTAAATGAATTAAGAATTCTAAATAAGTTGTCTGCTATTTAAATCACAAAATGTTTATTTCACATTTCCAGTAACTTACCCAAGGATTTTCTAAGTTGAGTTCTTGTTGACTGCAGTTCAGAGTGCCTATCCCTCAATAGTTGATATGTCTTAGCTTCATCCACCAGCACTTTACATTTCTCTGACTGACTGATAACCTCCTGTTTCTCTACTACATCAAACAGATAGTATGGACTGATCAATGGTAGTCGTATATGCTCTAGCACTTTATCAAAGTCATTTTTACGTCCTTCTGTATCAAAGTCCAGCCACCTGACAGCTGACTGATAAACCTGCTCCTCTGAATCTATATTTAATTCCTCATCTTGTAAAAACTCAATTAATTTATCTTTGGTGAGTTGTAGATATTCTTCTTGTAGACAAACAGATTTAAAATGTCTCAGTATGTATTTCTTTGACGTTTGCTGTAGTTCTATGCAAGCATGGGCCTCCGCAAAACAATGAATACCAATACTGTTGGTTTCGTCCATGTTGTGTTCTAAATATTGACCACACGCCTCTTTCACTGGTAAAATTTCGAGTAAGTTTGAAGCAGAGAGAAGAGCCTGCACATTTTGTCTGTTAATGAGAATTTCAGAAGTGTAGGCATAATTTATTAAAAGTTCCATTACAGATGCGTCTACATCATTTATAGTTACCATATCCTGTGTACTTTCTGCTAGATTACCAGTGAACATGGCATTGAAATATGGACTAAATGAGGCTAACACAATTTTGTGACATTTAAACTCTTGGCCGCCCGCAGCAAGAGTCATATCACAAAACTGATTTGAAACACGTAGATGATTTAACCCGGTGAGCACCTGGCTAGCATGAGATATCTCGTGAAACTTGAATTCCTCATCTGTTGCCGAGTCTTGAATACTAGAAGTTGAGTCAGCGCTATTCCTTCTCAAGCAAAACCCTGCTAGATATCCAGCATCAAAATTCATCGGGGGTCTTGTATGCTCAATGCAGGGTCCAGCATGATCCCCAGATGACATGACTGATTAAATGTCTTCCGACGGATCTGTTCAAATACAATATACATTTATTAACTTCATATCACTACAAATTCATGGCTTCAAAAAAACATTTCTTGCTGGCATCACAGCCATTAAATTGTGTTGCATCCAAAAATATTTAAGTCCAATTTTTTTTCCAGCTTTTTTGGGAGAAATTCGTGGCTCACATTGGAAAAACTTATCCTATATTTTGGGAAATTTGAGAAACCTTAAAAAGATGCAAGAAATACATTATTTATGACTATAAGTTTTATTCATGTATATGCTTATCTCAATTGTCACTTCTTATAAGATTTAACAAGTCAAAACAGTTCAACATTTCTCTGAAGTTGAAACAGATTGAATTTTTTTACCTGATATTGGGAAGTAACCTGTAATCCAGTATTAAAATTAAAAAAACTATTTTCACTTGTTAGGTTTTGGACCACTCTAAACAAAATATATCATTGATTAACTTTTCTAAAGATTAGAGTTTTACTAACTGGACTGGTTAATTCATTCTGGGATCCCAGGTTCATACATAATCATACATTGTTTTTCCCCTGCTTTGGAAATGGTGCCAGTACCAAACCAATTGGGAAAAATGCATTGTTTTGAACTTTTAACACAAATTGGTAATTTAACAATATCATTCAGGTATTCATGGGGAATTTCATTTATCAAGGGAGACATTCATGAGAATTATGCATAATATACACTTTAAAGCTATGTATTATTAACGGCAACTATTAACAATAAAACAATTTACTTAAATGATTTGTTTTTCTATTTGAGTTAAAATAAATTGAGTAAAAATAAACAAAAAATGTTTAGGTGCGAAACCCTGGAAGTACAAAATGAACTGGGTCACCGTACGTATAATACTCAGACAGACAGACAGTCTATCTGTCTTATAATACTCATGATGCAGTTATACTTGGTTTTTATCACATATCAATTTGGAAGCATCCATTGCAGTTTTTGTTTACCTTTTTTTGAAAGGGAATTTTCAAAGTAATTTTGGAAATTTTAAAAGTAAAAAACTTGGGAAATATGCTGTCTATTTTTTATTGGGAATGGTGCCGATTTCCAGTATTAGTAATATGTATATAAGGGAAAAAGCTATCATGTCATATTACTTAATTATTCTTTACTTTTTATCTAAACACTCAAGTTTTCTTTATAATATTCAACATTATCAAACTACACAGGAGCTGTGAAAAAAAATTAACAGAGAATGTATACAGTGTCCTTTTAAACTGTTAAAAATCCTAACATAAAAGCAAGCTGTATATATTTTTCAATTATTCAGGAGAGCATTTCATTTTTTTAGATAACAGATAGTCAAGTAAGACTTCTGATCATGTATAGAAATCCGTCGAGCACAAATCCAGCACAGAAAAGATCACAGCTGTTAGATTTACAGCAATGTATTTGTATGTCCGAAATATGGCATATCCGAAAATCTTTACTGTAAAGTAAAAGTAAGAGATATTTAAAAATATTAACTACGATACAAAATAATAATTGGTTTACATAATGAATACATAAACATTCAGTGCTTTTAAATTATCTGAATTGGAACATCAAATATATATAGTATTGATCATATAAATAAAGAAAATTTACCACAACAAATCCGATCTAGGCCAATTGAAAAACCGAAACCATACCATATAACAGGTACTCGTTGTTTCTTATTAAAAAAAATTCAATTAATAAGTTCAATGTGAATATACTATGTGCGCCAAATACAAAAATTGTTGATGTTAAAAAAAAGTTCACTTGCGTGTTTATGGCTCTAAAGTAATAAATATGCAGCTTGATATTGGGCCCAACAATATATTTTTTGGAACTTCAACACATATGCGCCAAACATCTTGAAATAAGTGATATTTAATCAAATAAGGTTAAAGACACATTTTGTCCCAGAAATGCTTATTTTTTCTCTCAAAAACTTTTTATGTTTGGTGTATATCTATAGTTTCCAAAACGTTAACTACCATTTACCTGAACCATCTTGAACTTCTGATCCTTTTTTGGCAAATTTTTAGTACAGCCATGGTATATTAGTATTTTGTATGGAAGTCAAAACACATGCAACCAGGTACGTGTTAATATACGTACCTGATGCAACTTATAATTTACATTTTGCTACTTTTATGACAAATTATTTCATATAAACGATACTTTTTTCGGTCAACAAGCATTTATAATTAATAACATGCTCTAAAAATGTAAAATTAATATTTGCCTGTTTAAAGAAGAAAAAAATAGCTTCTGAGGCATAAATAACGTGCCTTACATTATCGCAGGCTGTGAAGTGAATTACAATCACGTATAAGATGCATTTGGTCCAGGAATATGAAATGTTCATTTTCTGTTCCGTTCCAGTGTTGGGCACATAATTTAACATACCATGTTTAAAAAGACTAGTTCGTGCAAGTATGAACTTGTAATGTTCACATTTTTTAATTAAGTTTTTGATTTACGCTATGCTTCCACCTCAAAAATCATAATATGAATTAAATCATTTTATTACATGTTTTGCAGTAGATTACTGAGTTATAACGGTTAATTATATTCTGATAATTTCACAGTAATGATTACCAAATATAATTTCACAGTAGCCGAACTATATTTGGCGTAAAAATAAAATATTTATCATTAATGAATGTTTTTTCAGCGGAAATGTAGTCAATCATAATAAAAAATGTACGTGATAACTGTAGTTCGTAAATATTTACGAACGTTGTGCTGAAAAACATCTAAAATCTAAAAATAATCATGGAATTATATTTTGCTTCAACATTGTGACGTCATTATTTGATGACGTCATGAAGATAAGAGCATGACGTTACGCGGCAAAAAATCAGTAAAATGTTGTAAAAATCGTTAAAAAAAATCATGAAATAAACAGAAAAAATTGTTTGTTTACATGTGAGATCAAATAATATTTCACTCGTGAAACCCAGCTATTATATTTTCACTCGTGGCTACGCCACTCGTGGAAAATATTGCATCTGGTGTTCACTCGGTGAAATATTTTTCGATCTTACACTGAAACAAACAAATATCCTCTATATCTTTCAGTCCTTTAAAAATTGATATTAACTATAACTTTCTCTCCACGATTGTTTAAGGGATTCAGGTTTAAGTATTCGAGATCTCTGACGAGCTTCTAGTTAAATGCTATATGAATCTTGTTGTTTGTTTTTGAAACTATACAAACTTTCTTGAAGATAGAGTTGATGAAGACAGATCTGTTCGAATCTACTTAACTCCACCCAGAGTAGGGGATAAGATCAGGGAGACTTATACACAAAACATGTAACCATCGGCAAGCGCCTCGGGTCATATGTATGTCATTATTATATACCAAACTTCTTAAGCACTTTTCTTATGCACATTTACACGTTCAAAAGTACTGTACAGTATAACCAAATATATAAATGATACAATATTAAAAAAAAATGCTCAAGTAAAAATTTCAACTCAAATGTAGTTTTAAAATTTAAAAAGACCCACAAAAAAATAAAATACAGGTAACACTTAAGAATTGTTAAAAATCGAAACTAAAAAATAATCAGTCCAAAGAAGTGAGTTTTAAAATTTAAATAGACCAACACAAAAAATAAAATACAGGTAACACTTAAGAATTGTTAAAAAGCGAAATTAAAAATTAATCTGTTCAAATAAAACCTCTTAAATAAGTGAGTTTAAGTGCTCTCTTAAACATTGGTAGAGTTTCACAGCTTTTAAGTGTTCTAGGTAAGGCATTCCATGGAGAGTCTAGGTGATGCCGTCATAAACTCACGACCCCATAAGTCACATTTCTACTACGCGGTACAACCAATGTTAAACAATCATTCTGGGACATGGGATGTAAATGTCTTGCATGTTTTATATGTAAATAAGTGTCTGTCCATGAAGCGCCTTAAACACATATATGTAAACGATGCCAAGTCAATTATCGACATTTTTTTTCAATTTCTTTCAATTGCGAAAATTCGCTATAAATCTTGCTTTTTTGCGTTCTCGTGTCCATAATTAAGGGAAACTATTTCCATAGATTCAGTATTGTGGATAATCATACATTCTGAGAATAAATTAATGAGTCTGTTTATAATATGTTTATGAATGATTCAGCTATTTTCCTTTTTCTGCAAAACTGATATAAAAACAAAATTTGTCAAAAAATGTGAAAGTAAAAATAAATATATTGCTACTCAAAATGAGCCACACCTTCACCTATTGTTTTAATTCTGTAAAAGGTACCGTAACACACTTTAGATTTAAAACCAAAAGAATATAGTGAATATGTAACACTGTATCTATTAAGAAATAATTATATAAAAAAAAACACTGAAATTTATTATGACGCAAAAATGAACAAACTAATGGAGATTCATTGTTTTTCGCAAATGGTACACTACTGATATAATTGTATCAAAACCACAAATTCACTTTAATAAACTGTCTAAGCTATAATATATTTAACATATATTAAAATTTACATTTACCAGGTACGTTATGTCCCTGCCAAAACATAATTCTGGCATTGTATTTTTTTTAAAATAATTTTCGTTTATAAATAGATTTGAAATCTTCAAGTTTAATATAATGTTATAAATATACTGCGCCTAATTGTGCTAATATCGTCTTAATTGTTGCTTATAACAAGTTTATATAAATTATCTTACTAAAATGGTTGTATTACATGCATAAATGTACTAAACATTTGCACGTTCATATTGTCCGGAAGAGTATAGTGACCCCCCCCCCCTGCCTATTTAAAATAAGTCGATACATGAATACATGATTACAACATAGTTCGTAATGGTTTTTTTTAAAGTTATTAATTTATTTAATATTGCTCTTTTCTCTTCTTTGGCAACTATACTGTTAAAGATACATATTTTAAACTTAAGACTTTCTTAAAGAACTTATTTTTATTGAAATTCTACTTTGGAAATGAGACAATTCCTTTGGGGTAAACCGGGTTTATTTATTTTAAAAAGGTATATTTTGTGATTTATGGTGTATGGTAATAGATAAAACTATTTAATATCTATTTTATACATCACATAACCAGTCAATTTTTAAAGATATGAATTATTCAATGTTTTTTTTTCTTTAAGGCATATAAAATATATATGGGGGTCAGTATACTCTTCGTAATATTTCCCTCCCGTACACACAATATAACGTATTCATTTGGTCCCGTTTTCATCTTTTTGCGTTGTCGTAGTTAATACAATATTATGTAGTTGCGTTCAATGTTCCTTACATTAAAATAGGCAATCATATATACCCGATAAATATAGCGTTATACATTGTAAAATCAATCAACGGTATCGATCATATCTATATTTAGCCCAGTGATATACTGTATATACAACATGACTAACCGTATCTTTAATCTAAATATGTCAGGTATAAATATAGCACGGTTACAAACAGACAACTCCTTATATGACAGATTTTTCGTAGAATTTTAAGTGACACATTTACTTTTATAGTAAGTCCCTTAAGTATAAATATGGCTGGGCCCTCTATTTTACATCAAAACAAACCGAACATTGAAGACATATATGTGGATAGTTTAAAGCATTATAAATTCAAAGTAAGTGCATTTTCTACGTTACTTTTATAGTTAATAATGCGAATATTTACAGTTACTTTATTTATAAATCCGTGCTTAAACATATGATTTTGGAAAATCTTCAGAAGAAGATAAAAAATATCGTAAAATTTGATTGTAAAAAATAACTATAAATATGTAGAAGTTGGTCATCCATATCGAATAATGTAAATAGATAAATATAATGATGATTTTTTATTTACAATTATCAAATAAAAAATAAGTTAAAATTTATTCTTTACAATACTTTCTCATAAATTTTGTAGAATCAGAAGCGGCGCACCGAAAGCCTGCCTTCACCCTTATTATAAATCCCATTTTTTCGACTAATGAAATATGCAAAAACTCAATATCTATGAATAAGATAATTTCTTTATTGTAAACAATTTTATATTAAAACGACATTTCAGAATGAAGTATTTCATATATACAGACCTGTGCATATTTTTTTTTAAGTAATGAGAAACATTAGTGTATAGAATGGATTTGACACGCCTAGACCTCCATATAAGTCAGCTATACATATTCTATATTTCATCCGATCGAGTTCATTTATGTCAGATATTTGTATCAAATTATATCAGAACAGAACAGAACAGAACAGAACAGAACATTTATTTCACTTGTACATCATGTACATCGTGCACATAAATAACATATTTACACAACACAAGTATAGTCACACAATCTATATAAAACAATACAAATGTTATATCAACCAATGAGTTATTAAGAGGATGATTATGATTATATATTTTGACTCATTTGTTTATTTCTACGATTAAAAGCAATCTTACTAAATTTACAAAGTTTAACAAGAGTATCTTTTTCCCTGCAATTTAACAATTCGATAAGTTTATGCATGTTTGGTCTGATATAATAATATCGATCAATATATAACCGTCGTATATCATTAAAACATGGACATTTAAATACAAAGTGGAATTCGTCATCGATGTCTCTTGTATCACAGAAAAGACATACTCGTTCATTTCTGGGTAATCTATTAATTCCATACCTATTTGTTTTGTACCCGTAATGAATGAGCTGACACTCTTAGTTTTACTAAATATGTTCTTAAATCAAAAGGTAATAGATCGTGATACCTTTCATATTCAAATTTTTCTTTAAGATGGTGGTAAAGGTCTAACATTGTGCTTCCTGACTTATTACTATGCCAACCTTGCAAGAAACAATCTATTAACTGCTGTCTAAAAATACTTAAAAACGGATTTCTTTAACAGAATGAGGATTATCAAAAGCATAATTATATCCATTTTCACACAATAATTTTTTTACATTTGAGACCCAGTTCTTTTTACCATTTATACAATCATTATATGACATGTTATATACAGTTTTCAAAATTATATTATCTGTACTGTTAAGGTTTAAACCAAAATTTTAATATTCTAATATATCTCGAAAATATACAAAGGATATCGTCCCAATTCGCCCATAAACTGCAACATTAGGAGTCGACATTTTAACAAAAAGAATTTTCTTACAAAATTTAAGGTGAATTCTTTCGATTTTCTTTTGATTTTGTAAACCCCCATATTTCACTTGAATAATTTAAGTACTGATCCGACAAAAGAATCAAAAAGTTGACAAAGAATTTTAGGTTTCATTTTATATTTTGACATTTAACTAATAAAACATTTTCATTGATTTCAAAGCTTTACCGACCAATTGTTGTTGATTTAATGCAAAACTTCCCGTATAATTAAAAACAGTTCCTAGATAGTTAAAATCATTTACAACTTCCAAAATTGTCCCATTATACACAAAAGTCTCATTATTTCTAAGTCCCCCACGTTTACGAAATACCATAACTTTGGTTTTTGTATACATTGACTTCAAGACTCCATAGTTTGCAATACTCAGAAAGTAATATAAGATTAGTGTTTAATTTCATCCGGAGTCTTCCAAGAATAACCATATCATCTGCAAACAAAAAGTAGAATAAGAATAATATCATCAATATTTTACACCTGAATTTATATCATCTTGCAAAAATAACTCTAAGTCTTCAACAAATAGTGAAAATAATACTGGTGAAATTACCTCCCCTTGTCTTAAACCAACAGCATATTTGAAAAACTCAGAGTACGAATTACACGACCGAACACATGATTTTACTTTTTCATACATGTCCTTAATTATTCTCAAAATTTTACCGTTAACCCCGTGCTTATACAATTTAAGCCATAATGCATTTCTATATATACAAATCATATGCCATTTTTAAATCAACAAAAAACACAATATAATCTTTTATTTTCATTTAAATATTTTTGAACCCAAATTATGCAAAATAAACAAGGCATCAGTTGTCGAATAGCCTTTTCTGAATCCAAACTGCGCATCTGATATGGTATTATTCTCATTACAATATTTAACAATTCTATTATTTAGTATTGTCGTAAATAATTTCGACATACAACTTACTAAAGTAATGCCTCTATAATTTTTAACATTGTTTTTATCCCCTTTCTTGTGCAATGGTACAATAACCCCTTCAGTCCATCTTTCAGGAAAAAAACCGCTATCAAAAATACAATTAAAAATATCACATATATGCGCTGCCAGTATATCTACAGTTTCAATAAAATATTCATTCAGCAAAAAATCGTTTCCGCAGGATTTATCACGCTTTAAAGATTTAACAGCGATTAAAATTTCATTAATAGTAATTGAACTATTCAAAACGTCAGTGTTATCATCATTTTCTAAATTTGAGTTTAAATTATGATTTGTAGAAAAATCTTCTGCTTCAATATTTTTATTTTAAATTATATCATTTCTTACTTCTGAAAAATATTTGTAAAAAGATTCAAGCGATATATCTATATCATTATTCTTTTTTTAGCTTTAAAATAGTTCCAAAAATCTTTAGGCCTTCGAAAACGTAAATTTTCGATATCAGATGATTTTTTTTATTTCAAATATTTTCTTCTTTTTCTTAACTATTTGTTTATATCTGCTTTTGAGCATCAAAAACTGCTCTCTACTATATTCAGAGTTACATTTTTTAAAAACACGCTGAGCTTCCATATACCTTTGCCTTGCATGCTTACATTCAAGGTCAAAGCATTCTTTATCATTGGTTCGATTATCAACAAAATGTACATCGCGTCGATTTGACACATAACGTGTAAACAGAGGGTCAGCTACCTGACGAACCGTATCGGTGAATTCATTTAAAATGTTATTTACAGAAGCTCTATCTTGCATGTACATATCCTCCGTTAATCGGTTAAATTGCGGTAAACAACCAATAATACCTGAACGAAATTCAGATTTAAATTCGTCTGACCATCTAATTTTCATAAATCCTGAATTATTTACTTCCTCGGGCATTGCATTACAGTTTAAAGTAACGGAAATCGGACAATGGTCGCTCCATTCATTGAAGTCGTGTACTTTGAAATCACTAATATTTACAAAATCACGCTCTTTCGCGAGTAGATAGTCAATTAATGATGCCCCTTGACGTGATGCAAATGTAAACGCACCAATACCATAGTCATTACTGATCCGACCGTTAGCTATTCGACAGCACGTAGATTTGCATAAGTCAAGAAGTTTTATTCCGTTAGAATTACACGTTTTATCACAGGAGGCCCTGACGGAGGATATATCGGGAATATAATCATCATTATCTATAGACTTAATAGCAGTATCACATATAATATAATCCGCCTTAAGACCTACCCGACTATTCCAATCGCCGATCAAAAACACAGACCCTTCATTTTCAAACTCAAAAATATCATTCTGAATTTCATCAAATAAATCAACGTTACATACATTATAAAATGGCGATCCTTCAGGCCATATGTATATTGAAAAAAAAATTATCTATCTTTAACCAGATAACAGAATCGTGATTATTTCTAACAACTGAAATACCTTTTTTCAAATTGTCTTTAACATAGATAACAACGCCTCCGCTACATCTTTTAGCATTTCGATGTTGATATTTTCGATAAAAATTATATGATACATAACCTTCAATATCTACAATACTTTTAGAATTTGTCCACGCTTCAAACAAAAATATCACATCATTTTTGTCAATAATATCTACAAATCCTTGACATTCTTTTTTCACGTTCGTCAGTCCCGTTAACGTTCCACGCCAACACGTTCAAACCACCCCCTTCGTGGTCCTAGCTTCGTTCATCGCGCTGCGCCTTTCCGTTTACATATAACGTATCATATGAGATCCAAGCATTATGACCGTTCCGCTTCGCTTCCTTCATCTTTGGCACCAATTCTCGCCTCTTTGCAATAATTTCCTTGGGGAATTGTTCATGAACATAATATTTGGTTTTATCTAAAGTTTTCCATTGTTTTCGAACTAATTCTCTTTCTTTGAATAGTGTAAATTTCGCAACGATATTTCTAGTTCTACCTGGTATTTTATTCCCCATCCGATGTACTCGCTCAAACGCCATTCTCCCCACCTGCTCTTTAGCTATCTTCATATTTTGCTCCAAAAATTCTCTTAACTTTTGCTCCGTATTTTCCAGCACCCCTGACGGGCTTTCGTCGATGTTCGCAAATACAAGGTTATTCCGCATTGACTGCGATTGTAAATAGACAATATCATCTTTTAGAGCATTATTCTCTCTATATCACCTACCATGGCAAATACACAAAACATAACCCGCGAGTGATTTAGACAAAAATAAAGAGTACCCTTACATATTTGAAATGTCAAATATTGTTTTCAAAATATTGTTTTACCTTGTCTTTCAGGCAAAATGAGTTATTCATACGAAGATGACGTATCAGCCGTCGTTATTGACAACGGTTCTGGTATGTGTAAGGCTGGATTTGCCGGCGATGATGCACCAAGGGCTGTATTCCCAGCTCTAACAGGACGGCCAAGATATGACATTGTTATGGCGGGAATGGGTGGGAAAGATACATATATTGGCGACGAGGCTCAAAGTAAACGAGGTATCTTATCGCTTAGATATCCCGTAGAACATGGCATTGTTACAAACTGGGACGATATGGAGAAAATATGGCACCATACATTTTATAATGAGCTCCGTGTTGCACCAGAAGAACACGCTGTCCTTTTAACAGAAGCTCCGATGAATCCTAAGGCAAACAGAGAAAAAATGACACAGATTATGTTTGAAACATTCAATGCTCCAGCATTTTACGTTTCCATACAAGCTGTTCTATCTCTGTATGCCGCCGGACGTACCACTGGTGTTGTATTTGACTCAGGGGATGGTGTTTCTCACGTTGTTCCGATCTATGAAGGATATGCATTGCCTCATGCAATTCAGCGGATGGATTTAGCAGGTAGAGATTTGACAAAATATTTAGCACGTATTCTTCATGAGCGTGGATATAACTTTACAAGTTCTTCTGAGATGGAAATAGTTCGCGACATAAAGGAGAAAATGTGTTACGCAGCTCTAGAATTTGAAGCAGAGATGGATTCGGCTGCTAGCTCGTCAATCGCTGAAAAAAGTTATGAACTTCCAGACGGACAGGTTATCACTATAGGAAATGAGAGATTCCGATGTGTTGAAACATTATTTCAACCTTCCTTCATTGGAATGGAAAACGTCGGTGCTCACGAACTACTTTATAACTCTGTAATGAAATCCGATATAGACATACGAAAGGATTTATTTGCAAATGTTGTATTGTCAGGTGGAACAACTATGTTTCCTGGTATCGCGGACAGAATGAAACACGAGCTCGACAATCTGGTTCCAAGCGCAATGAAGGTTAAGGTCATTGCACCACCAGAGCGGAAGTACTCTGTCTGGATCGGAGGATCAATTCTCTCTTCTTTGTCGACATTTGGTCAGATGTGGATTTCAAAACAAGAGTATGATGAATGTGGACCTGGTATCGTGCATAGAAAATGTTTTTAAGTTTAACTTTATATTATAACTCTTCATTCAATTCAGGTGCAATAATAATACTGTTCATGAGGGAGACGTCCAAAAGCTAATTCGGTGATATGAGATGAGAAGAACTGTAATGATTTATCGATTGATATCACATGAAATATATTCTCAGCAAAACAGTATTGCTGTGGCATTTGGTGTTCAACAATGATGTTTTTATAGTTATGTCACATATGCATTGAATATTTTGTTATTTATATATTTTCATTTTGTACTTTTGTTATTAAATATAGTTTATATACTATCTTACTCTACTGATCTTTTATTGCCGTTCCATTTTTGGTGTTAATGTGATAACAAAGATATACTAATATTTATAGTATATCATGTCTAAACATTTTGTTTGTTTGTTTGTTTCATTTTACGCCTTTTCCCAACAGTATTTCAGTCATATAGGCGGGTAGTTTCCTAACCATCGTTCCTGGAGAGTTACACCAGTACTAGACTACCTTCCTCCGCGCTAAACTACCAAATCATCTCCCGGGAATCAAACCCACGCCAGAGAGATCACTAGATTAGAAGTCATCGACTCTAACCCCTCGACCACGGAGGCGGATATGTCTAAACATCAAAACACTTATCTGTAAATGGTAAAAACTCGAACGGACAACTGGTCTGTAGAACCAAGAATACTCGTGACAATAGCTTAAATAGCATTATTATAATTATTGTACAAACACCGGTAACACTTTAAAAAGGTAAACAATGAATATTTTGATATTTTACTGGTAGAAATATTTCATTTGAAATACCATTCAACTATTATGTCGACATTTCCCTGTGCTCAAACTGCATAAGTGACCCATGTTAATATACGTCATATTCTATAAGTCGGCTCATATCTGATTAAATAATCCAAGACATGAAGCAGTAAATTCTTTTTTTTGTTAGTTTTAGTTTATTATCCACCTATCGCAAGTGACTGTACTTATTCTGTAATTGATGACGACCACTCCGTTAAATTTGGACAACTAAATTTACTCGACTGATAAAGGGTAATGGCAAAAGAGTATGGGATTCATTATGCCTGATTGAATGAAGATATCAATTTTAAGACCAAAAGTCCTACATAAAATTTGTGTGCTATCTTTTATATTTTTTTAAGAATAGTTCCATACATGCTGTCCAGTCACATAGACTTACAGTTCTTTTTATTTGGTACAGCAATATCAACACGACGTCAGATACATGTTCCGATATTATACATTTTTATAAATTATATCAGATAATTTTCCTAGAACAATGTAACATTATTCATCATATAAATGTTCATACCCAATCACTTAGCACTTGTTCAGCATTTTTACGAGAAATATTTTATACTAATATCCAAATGATGCATTATTTTTTATCAATATTTTAATTTTTTTTGAAAATTTGCTCATTTTAGACCAATCCTTTTTAAGAGATGACCATTAAAGCCTAAGGTTGAATTCAAGACATATCTTACACTTATTAATACATGTAGTGTTGTTTTTTTAATATACTTTTATCATATTTTCTTTGAATCATTCAAATCATATTGCTATTTTTTCTGAAATGATTTCATAGAACTGAGTGACTATAGCTTGTTAATATTTATGTACAAACATATATCACAGATATAAAAACTGAGCATAACATAACCCTTGTACATAAATGACATTTTAATTTCATTTTTTTTACATTTTCATTTATCATTTCTTTCAACTATTATGCCGACATATCCCTGTGCTCAAACTGCATTAGAGATCCGTGATAATGCACGTCATACTCTATCTGTCCGCTTGATGTCTGACCTGAAAAACAACAACGAAATAATTTAGTAAATCAGATTATCATTTTTACTAGTTATATCCCTTTATCCTTGATAATATATCTTTGAATATATTTTATTTCACAAAGCCAGTTGACCAGAGATCCATGAGGCAACATATTAACAATATATACAATAACATAAAGATTACTTTTTTATTATACCGAGCATATAAAAAGTACTTTTTTATAAGACCCTATTTACATGTACGTCTATAATTAAATAAGCATCACGCAAGTCATAAACGCATTCTTAGCAATAATTAGTTGCATTTCACTTAAGATTGATATTGAAATTGAAATGTTTTATTGACAGGTACATATGAACACTGAATTGGCAGTTGCCGGAAAAGGTAATGACGAAGCCGTCATGAATTGGCGAAGATTTTCATGACGAAACCGTGTATGAATAATTCTGCAAGCAGACTGTAGGTGATGATTTGGAAACCGTTTCTTGTCACTTATACACCATTAATATCAGGATTAAGTTTGCTATTCTGAGTAGGTAACTGAAATAACTTATTAAAACCCGATATATCGTGAGCAAAAGTTAAATCTAAAATAGAAAATATCGTTGCCATGCACAATCTACGGAGGCACAAAGGTGCCATGTGTGTTTTTTTATTTATCTCGTGCGCACGAGATACTATGTCGTGGCCACGAGTTACTAAGTCGTGGCCACGAGATAGTTAAGTCGTTGGAACGAGATTACTCAAACCCTGACTATATATGTAAGCTCTTCCACATGTACATTTGTGTTTCTTTTTGCCGGAATAGGAAGAAAGGTGATCAATCAGAATTGCCTTAGTTCGAAAGGCTTTGGGCAGATGCTGCAAGTTAGAGTGGGTTAGCATGGAAAAACTTGTGTTGATTAAGTTCAGATTTTGTCGCAAACGAATTGTCATTCTTTGCACTGATGCAGTTTTGCTCTGCCATGGTTGTTTGCTCTGAAACAACTGAAACAAATTAGAATTAAGAAATACTATCAGTTTATTGATGTAAATATAGCTTCCATGTTGTGTTTAACGGTGACCGGGTTTCAAAATATTTGTCCTCATAAGAAATTTTGTACTTTAATTGTACCTATTTAAATACATATATATAATGCGTTCATTTCTCAACACAAAGGGTACATTGTATGTCGCTGCTTATAGCAAATAATGGGGCACTATATTGCTCCAGGGTTATCTAATTTCTTTTTCTTAATAGCTTTTCTTTATTAACATGTAACCATTTCTTTGTGTTCTTTCCATCTTAGACACTCAAGCCGTATGTAGAAATATTAGACGGCTATGTACTTCATGTATATTATGCAATTTACAAACCAATGTCTTTGCAATTTGCCAATACTTAGGAACCATGTCCCACAGCATGTATGGGGTATCTTCCCCATTGTAAACCTGCTCGGGACGACATGAAGATGATCGCCTTCTATACGATTTGCCATAATGCCGGCAAATAAACACATCAGAATTTCCGATTCCTGTAAAGATATTGAATTACTTAATATGTTGTGATGAAGTATTTAACGATAATATCAACACAATATTAAAATTTAAAACAAACAATACATGTATATATTCTATAGGTATACGTTAACATGCTTTTCATTGAAAGGAACACCTTTTTCTGCGTCTGAAATACAAAAACAACAAGAAGAAGAACAACTGCTTTCATTTCCAAAATAATTGTCAAAATGGTATGACATTTTATATATGTATTTTGTTTTTTGTTTTTGGGTTTTACGTCACATCGACACAGTATAGGTCATATCGCGACGTTCCAGCTTTACTGGTGGAGGAAGACCTCTGGTGCCCTTCCGTGCTTTATTTCAGGCATGAACGGGCACCTGAGTAGAACCACCGACGTTCCGTAAGCTAGCTGGATAGCTTCCTCACATGAAAGAATCCAAAGTCCCTGTCGGGATTCGAACCCACAGCGGTGAGGGACAAGTGGTTTGAAGTCAACGACCTTAACAACTCGGCCACGGACGCCCCTTTTATATATGTAATTGAAACATATATTTTGCTGGTAAAATAAATTCTATATAAAGTACATGTTTGTATTTTATTTTTGTATTGTAAATAAATACTTTTAAGCTAATGTACATGTGTGTTATCAAAGCAGAATACTATTAAGATGAGAATGTATGGCAAGCATAATGAATTCATTTAATTTAATACTTCTTTCTACTTTTCACCTTCAAATATTATATTTGTATGATTTCAAAGACAGCATAATTCAATGAAGAAATTGAGAAAATAGGACAGGCAATAAAATCGTTCGGCCATTGTACTCGTTAAATTTGGTTCGACCATTGTACTCGTTTTTTTAAAAAGATGCACAACTTCGTTATGCAACTTAACAAAGGATGGAAATTGTTCATGACGTGCAAAGTTGCAATTGTGCACAAGATTTCATTGCTAAATTTGCTCAAATTGCGTTTATTTTACTGAAAACAGCGTATTTTAGTGCCTGTTTGGCCATTGTACTCATCAACCAAAACAACTTTTTCGACTTTCAGGCCTAAACAGAGAGAGCTAGAAAGTAACCAATAACAGAACAGTACGTGGTTTTTATATTTATTTGAGCCCATTGTACAATTTTGGTCACGTGATCATCCTCAGTGGGTGCTCTCTTAAACATTGGTAGAGTTTCACAGCTTTTAAGTGTTCTAGGTAAGGATTCCAGGAGTTAAGGTGCTGCCGTCATAAAAGCACGATCACCATAAGTCACAGTCCTACTTCGCGGCACAACCAGACTGTTAAACAATCATTCTGGGACCTAGGTTGTCTGGATGGGATATAAATGTCTAGCATGTTTTATATGTAAATAGGTGCCTGTCCATGAAGCGCTTTAAACACATATGTAAACGATGCCAAGTCAATTATCGACATTTTTCAATTTATTTCAATTGCGAAAAATCGTTATAAATCTTGCTTTTTTGCGTTTTCGTGTCCATCATTAAGAGAAACCATTTCCATGGATCCAGTATTGTGGATGAGAATAAATGGAACTGTTTATAAAATGTTAATGAATGATTCAGCTATTCTCCTTTTTCTGCAAAACTGATATCAAAACAAAATTAGTCAAAAATAAAATAAATATATTGCTACTCTCAATGAGCCACACGTCCACCACTTTAGAAATAAAACCGAAGGAAAAGTGAATATGTACACTATGTGTCTATTTCCAAAATGTAGTAAGAAATTATAATAATAAAAAAAACCCACTCACATGTATATTATAATTCCGTAATCTACTGCAAAACATGTAATAAATAGAGGATATTTGTTTGTTTCAGTGTAAGATGGAAAAATATTTCACCGAGTGAACACCAGATGCAATATTTTCCACGAGTCGCGTAGCCAGGAGTGAAAATATAATAGCTGGGGTTCACGAGTGAAATATTATTTGATCTTACATGTAAAACAAACAAATTTTCTGTTTATTTCATGATTTTTTAACAATTTTTACACCATTTCACTGATTTTTGCCGTGTAACGTCATGTTCTTATCTTCATGAAGTCATCAAATAATGACGTCACAATGTTGAAGCAAAATATAATTCCATGATTATTTTTAGTTTTTAGATGTTTTTCAGCACAACGTTCGTAAATATTTACGAACTACAGTTATCATGTACATTTTTTATTATGATTGACTACATTTCCGCTGAAAAAAACATTCATTAATGATAAACATTTTATTTTTACGCCAAATATAGTTCCCCTACTGTGAAATTATATTTGGTAATCATTACTGTGAAATTATCAGAATATAATTAACCGTTATAATTCCGTAATCTACTGCAAAACATGTAATAAATAGAGGATATTTGTTTGTTTCAGTGTAAGATGGAAAAATATTTCACCGAGTGAACACCAGATGCAATATTTTCCACGAGTCGCGTAGCCAGGAGTGAAAATATAATAGCTGGGGTTCACGAGTGAAATATTATTTGATCTTACATGTAAAACAAACAAATTTTCTGTTTATTTCATGATTTTTTAACGATTTTTACACCATTTTACTGATTTTTGCCGCGTAACGTCATGCTCTTATCTTCATGACGTCATCAAATAATGACGTCACAATGTTGAAGCAAAATATAATTCCATGATTATTTTTAGATTTTAGATGTTTTTCAGCACAACGTTCGTAAATATTTACGAACTACAGTTATCACGTACATTTTTTATTATGATTGACTACATTTCCGCTGAAAAAACATTCATTAATGATAAATATTTTATTTTTACGCCAAATATAGTTCGGCTACTGTGAAATTATATTTGGTAATCATTACTGTGAAATTATCAGAATATAATTAACCGTTATAATTCAGTAATCTACTGCAAAACATGTAATAAATTTCAATATTTATTATGACGCAAAAATGAAGAAACTAATGGAGATTTATTGTTTTTCGCAAATGGCTTTCACCTTGATATATATCAAAACCACAAATTCACCTTAATAAACTGTCTAAGCTATAATATATTTAACATATAGTAAAATATTCATAAACTAGGCATGTTATATTATATCCCAGCCAAAACATAATACTGGCATTGTTGTTGTTGTTTTTTAAATGATTTTCGTTTACAACTAGATTTGAAATCTTCAAGTTTAATATAATGATATAAATATATGGCGCCTAATTGTGCAAATAACGTCTTGTTGCTTATAACAAGTTTATACAAGTGTTCTCTATTTTGGCAACTATACTGTTTAAGATACATATTTTAAACTTAAGACTTTCTTAAGAACTTACAAATATGTTATTTCTTCTTTTTTCATTGATATTCTACTTTGGAAAGCAGACGTTTCCTTGGGTTAAACCGGTTTTATTTATTTTAAAAAAGTATGTTTTCGGGGCATTATTTGTTCGACAGATATAGAGATGAGATAATCATATACTAGTAGATTAAGAGGATATTTTTGTTTGAGTGAAATATAGCATATATTTTCACAAAACATGATAAAATTCCGCATATTTTTACGAGCTGAGTCAGTATTTATAAATGTATTTATTTACGGTGCATACACCGTGTCTTTCCATATATGGTAATTCCTCGTGTTTTAACGGTTATAGTTTTGGCGGTAATTATGCACGATTTTACGTGTAAGTTGATAAAATATAGTCATTCGAGGCATTACGTTCACGCCGTCCATTTGTGAAATTTCTTTAAATATAATGTTCATATATTACGAAATATCATGGATAAATTTATGTATTTAACATTGCCTTAAACAGATTTTTGATATCTTGTTTTATCTATTTCAGATTCTCAGTCTTCGTTTTTAACATGGATGTAAAAATTAAAAAAAAAAAAAATGAAGGAAAGGGAAGATATCAATGCCATGTTTTGATTTAATCTGAAAGTAATGCATTTCATATAATTAATGGTTTTTTTATTAGACTCAAAATTGGGGATATGTCAGATAGGCGATTGAAGCAGCCGCTGAACTATAGCTTTGGAGCTTCCTACCTCCCCCGCCCAAGACGGAGTAGGGTTGGGTAGCCCGCTCGCAGCATTTCTGACTTTGGCTTTTTCCAATTATTTTATATTTGATTAATTCTACCTGCGATTGATTGAAAATAGTATTTCTTAGAAATCGAAGTTCATTAGGTTTGGTTGGTTGGATCGGAGAGCAGAGCACGAAAAGTTTAGAAGTACACTTGCAGTTTTTCTTCAAGTATTGATCATTTGAGTTGTTTCTTTTGTTTCCTGTAAATCTTTTGTCAAATAAACGGGACGGCTTAACGGCATGCCCTCTAACCTTCTTTTATGTTATGTTTTTCTTTAAAGTTGCATGCTTGAATGTAGGTGTATGTTGGAGGATAATAAATAATTTATGCTCGTTTGAGAGCATCGAATAAAAGCATAATCTTCGTAATATTGTCCTCCCGTACACACAATATAACGTATTCATTTGGTCCCGTTTTCATCTTTTTTGAGTTGTCATAATTAATACAATATCAAGTAGTTGCGTTCAATGTTCCTTACATTAGAATAGGCAATCATATATACCCGATAAATATAGCGTTATACATTGTAAAATCAATCAACGGTATCGATCATATCTATATTTAGCTCAGTGACATACTTCTATACTACATGACTAACCGTACCTTTAATCTAAATATGTCAGATATAAATATAGCACTGTTACAAACAGACAACTCCTTATATGACAGAGTTTTCGTAGAATTTTAAGTGACACATTTACTTTTATAGTAAGTCCCTTAAGTATAAATATGGCTGGGCCCTCTATTTTACATCAAAACAAACCGAACATTGAAGACATATATGTGGATAGTTTAAAGCATTATAAATTCAAAGTAAGTACATTTTCTACGTTACTTTTACAGCTAATAATGCAAATAGTTACAGTTACTTTATATCTTGCTCTTTTTTTACCGGCTATCTCAAAAAATGATTTCGGAAAATCTTCAGATATCGTAAAATTTGATTGTCAAAAATAACTATAAATATGTATAACTGGTCATCCATATCGAATAATGTAAATAGATAAATATAATGATGATTTTTTATTTACATTTATCAAATAAAAAAAAAAGTTATAATTTATTCTTTACAATACTTTCTCATACATTTTGTAGAATCAGAAGCGGCGCACCAGCCTGCCTTCACCCTTATTATAAATCCATGTTTTTCGGCTAATGAAATGTGCATAAACTCAATATCTATGAATAAGATAATTTCTTTATTGTAAACAATTTTATATTAAAACGACATTTCAGAATGAAATATTTCATATATACAGACCTGTGCATATTTGTTTTTTTTTGAAGTAATGAGAAACATTAGTGTATAGAATGGATTTGACACGCCTAGACCTCCATATAAGTCAGCTATACATATTCTATATTTCATCCGATCGAGTTCATTTTTGTCAGATATTTGTATCAGTTATATAACTTACCATGGCAAATACACAAAACATAACCCGCGAGTGATTTAGACAAAAATAAAGAGTACCCTTATATATTTGAAATATCAAATATTGTTTTCAAAATATTGTTTTATCTTGTCCTTCAGATAAAATGAGTTACTCATACGAAGAAGACGTGTCTGCCGTCGTTATTGACAATGGATCGGGTATGTGTAAGGCTGGATTTGCCGGCGATGATGCACCAAGGGCTGTATTCCCAGCTGTGACAGGACGGCCAAGATATGACATTGTTATGGCGGGGATGGGCGGGAAAGATACATATATTGGTGACGAGGCTCAAAGTAAACGAGGTATCTTATCGCTTAGATATCCCGTGGAACATGGCATTGTTACAAACTGGGACGATATGGAGAAAATATGGCACCATACATTTTATAATGAGCTCCGTGTTGCACCAGAAGAACACGCTGTCCTTTTAACAGAAGCTCCGATGAATCCTAAGGCAAACAGAGAAAAAATGACACAGATTATGTTTGAAACCTTCAATGCTCCAGCATTTTACGTTTCCATACAAGCTGTTCTGTCTCTGTATGCCGCCGGGCGTACCACTGGTGTTGTATTTGACTCCGGGGATGGTGTTTCTCACGTTGTTCCGATCTATGAAGGGTATGCATTGCCTCATGCAATTCAGCGGATGGATTTAGCAGGTAGAGATTTGACAAAATATTTGGCACGTATTCTTCATGAGCGTGGATATAACTTTACAAGTTCTTCTGAGATGGAAATAGTTCGCGACATAAAGGAGAAAATGTGTTACGCAGCTCTAGAATTTGAAGCAGAGATGGATTCGGCTGCTAGCTCGTCAATCGCTGAAAAAAGTTATGAACTTCCAGACGGACAGGTTATTACTATAGGAAATGAGAGATTCCGATGTGTTGAAACATTATTTCAACCTTCCTTCATTGGAATGGAAAACGTCGGTGCTCACGAACTACTTTATAACTCTGTAATGAAATCCGATATAGACATACGAAAGGACTTATTTGCAAATGTTGTATTGTCAGGTGGTACAACTATGTTTCCTGGCATCGCAGACAGAATGAAACACGAGCTCGACAATCTGGTTCCAAGTGCGATGAAGGTGAAGGTCATTGCTCCACCAGAGCGGAAATACTCTGTCTGGATCGGAGGATCAATTCTCTCTTCTTTGTCGACATTTGGTCAGATGTGGATTTCAAAACAAGAGTATGATGAATGTGGACCTGGTATCGTGCATAGAAAATGTTTTTAAGTTTAACTTTATATTTCAAAAATCATTCAATTGAGGTGCAATAATATTACTGTTCATGAGGGAGACGCCCAGAAGCTAATTCGGGGATAATATTATGAGATGAGAAGAACTATAATGATTTATAACATGAAATATATTCTCAGCAAAACAGTATTGCTGTGGCATTTGGTGTTCAACAATGATGTTTTGATAGCTGTATCAATGATTAACACGAGAATATAATAAAAACCGTTTGAAATAATTGTTTCATGTTTATTAAGGATTTGAAATTTTGTATCAATGTTGTATTTACATTTAAATGGTTAATTTATGATTTTCAAGATGTAACCTATAATATCTTTTGTCACATATGCATTGAATATTTTGTTATTATATATTTTCATTTTGTACTTTTGTTATTAAATAAAGTGTATATACTATCTTACTCTACTCGTCTTTTATTGCCGTTCCATTTTTGGTGTTACGTGTGATAACAAAGATATACTAATATTTATAGTATATCATGTCTAAACATCAAAACACTTATTCTGTAAATGGTAAAAACTCGATCAGACAACTGTTTAGGCGTACTGGGTTTATAAGTCCGTGTCTATGAACCCCATGCTGTTTCCATAAAGTCATTAATGACTTTTGTTCGGATTAAAATCATAGTTTTCAAATGCCCAGAGACATTAACTTAGTTAGATTAGCCGGTATGTATCAGAATTATAAAAGCCAAAAAAAAATCAACAACAAACACTTAAACATAACTATCATTAATTAAAAGAAGTAAATTGAGTCTGCTATTGATTTTAGTAGAATAGTTCTAAAACCGAAGGTTGAATGAAAGCAATGTCGCACATCTATAACGAGTGCTGTTATTTTACTATATACTTACATTTGCATATTATAATTTAAGTTCAAACTATTTTATGGTTCTGTAGAACCAAGAATTAAGACTCGTGACAATGGCTTAAATAGCATTATTATAATTATTGTACAAACACCGGACATAAAATAAAATAACACTTTAAAAAGGTAAACAATGAATATTTTGATATTTTACTGGTAAAAATATTTCATTTGAAATACCAACTATTATGCCGACATTTCCCTGTGCTCAAACTGTATAAGTGATCCACAATAATATATACGTCATATTCTATCAGTCGGCTCATATCAGACATTATGTATCAATTAAATAATTCAAAACATGAAGCAATAAATTACTTTATTGTTAGTTTTAGTTTATTATCCACATACATGTATTTAAATATTTCTTTGCAAGTGACTGTAGTTATTCTGTAATTGATTTTACGATCACTCCGTTAATATTGGACAACTAAATTTACTCGGCTGATAAAGGGTAATGACAAACCAGTCTGGGATTCATTTTGCCTGATTGAATGAAGATATCAATTTTAAGACCAAAAGTCCTACATAAAATTTGTGTGCTATTTTTTATATTTTTAAGAATAGTTCCATTCATGCTGTCCAGTCACATAGACTTACATTTTTTTTTTGGATCAGCAATATCAACACGACGTCAGATACATGTTCCGGTATTATATATTTTTTATAAATTATCAGATAATAAATTGTCCTAGAACAATGTAATATTATTCATCATTTAAATGTTCATATCAAATCACTTAGAACTTGGTCAACATTTTTACGAGAAATATTTTGTAAGAATATCAAATTGATGCATTATTTTTTTTAATATATTAAATACTTTTTGAAAATTTGCTCCTTTTAGACCAATCCACTTTAAGAGAAGAACGTTAAAGCTGAAGGTTGAATTCAAGACATACTAGTATCTTAAACTTATTAATACATGTAGTGTTGTTATTTTATATATACATGTACTTTTATCATTTTTACTTTTAATCATTCAAATCATATTTCTATTTTTCTGAAATGATTACGTAGAATCGAGTGACTATAGCTAGATAATATTTATGTACAAACATATATCACAAATATAAAAACTAAGCATAACATAACCCTTGTACATAAATGACATTTTAATTTCATTTTTACATTTCATTTATCATTTTTTCAACTATTATGCCGACATATCCCTGTGCTCAAATTGCATTAGAGATCCATAATAGTATACGTCATACTCTCTCTGTCCGCTTGATGTCTGACCTGAAAAACAACAACAACGGAATAATTTAGTAAATCAGATTATTATTTTAACTAGTTATTTCCCTTTATCCATACAAAAAGTTGTTAATATATCTTTAAATATCTTTATTTCACAAAGCCAGTACACCATGGATCCATAAGGCAACATATTTACAATACATATTTACAATATATACAGTAAAATAAAGATTATTTTTTTAGAACTTTTTTTATAAGGACCTACTTACACATACGTCTATAATAAAATAAGCCTGTCACAAACGCATTCTAAGCAATAATTAAATGTACTCCACTTTGATTGATATTGAAATGCAAATGTTTTAATGACAGGGTCGTGAACATTGAATTAGCAAAGTTGTCGCAAAATTTCATGACGAAACTGTTTATGACTCATTATGCAAGCAGACTGCAGGTGATTATTTGCAAACCGTTTCTTGTCACTTATACACCATTAATATCAGGATTTATTTAGGTAACTGAAATATCTGATTCAAACCCGATATATTGTTGTGAGCAATAGTTAAATCTAAAATAGAACGTATCGTTTCCACAATCAATACAGAGAATTAGTTTATACCGGAGATTACAATCTTGTCCCGGGGTTCATGGAGACGGATAGTTCTCACTGCATTACGAAGACTGTCCGATGTTGCCAAAAGACTGTATATTTCGTCATCTGAAAACAATTTTGAAAGTTCAAAAATGTCTATAATGGGACCTATGTTTTTCGATTGATACTAAGTCTTATTAAGTAAGGAAATTACATTAACAGCAACAAAAAACAACATCACATTTGTGCGTGCCAATGTTTCATCAAGAACTTAAAAGATAAATAAAATTTGTTATTACTTTTTTACTTTTTCCTTTCGTATTAAATTTGTTCTACTTTTATCAGCAAAAATACAGTTATTCTGACATATTCATACTTTTTTCTGAACAAAAATGCGTGTTAGCTCCATACATGTTTGGATAGAAAGACGATAACGTAACTGATATTCAACGACACCAGTGTTACAAAATTTCATGCTGTCAACTTTCGCTGCAACTCTCACAAATTTCAGAATTTTTATGAATTTGATCTGAATCATCATCATAAATATCATTTCCAAATCTCTGTCTAAACAGTAGTTTATTACTATCCACAGCTCTTCATATGTCATGACATTTTAACTAATTTCGATGAAGGATAAAAAAAATTTATCCAGTGGTTTTGATGCATGCTTTTTATTTCGAGATAATTTCTCTATTTTTCAGGTACATGCTCATGAAAGCATTTTTTTTTTTTTGAAAATCTTAAGTTTGATTTTGTCTTATGCACTTTAAACCAAAATGTATAACATTACATTTCAACATGTTTAATTAAGCATTATTTGCAAGGTATCTGGAATTGTTGGGAAATGTTCTTTTAGAGTCTTTGTTTATGTGGGTTTATTATAGGTCATATGGCGACGTTCCAACTTTACTAGTGGAGTAAGACCTCAGGTGCCTTTCCGTTATTGTGTCAGGCACGAACGGGCACATGAGTAGAACCACCGACGTTCCGAGCTTCCTCACATGAAAGAATCGAAAGCCCCTGTCTGGATTCGAACCCACAGTGGTGAGGCGCAAATGGTTTGAAGTCAACAACTTTAACCACTCGGCCACGGATGCCCCTCTTACAGAGTGAAAACGATTTAAGCTCATTTACGATGGAAATTCCATCAAGGTCTTCTTTTTATATTACCATTTGTGATCATTATTAATAAAAAGGGGGCACATGGATCCTCTTAGTTAATGATTTTATTCCATAATTGTATAATTACATATACTATTTAAACGATGCCAGGACATTTAATAACTTTTGCCATTTAATAACCTATATTATCTGATATAAAATTTTGGCAATGGAATTATCAGTCAAATATGGCTAAACAATTTTTACTTTGTCATTGATACAGTATTTTTGCTTTGCAATTACTGAATGTAGAAGTGGTATACAAGACGTCCTCATTATCTTTGTAAATCAAATTGACTCTGAAGTTTTTCAGCCTATATCGTCAAAACAGTTAAACCTTTGAGTAAGCTTTAGATAAAATATTTATCTTTTTAATTTTACTTAAGTAATGGAACCTGATATTTTGTTATTATTTCATTGTACTTTGAACGTTCCGTTTCCGACATGTAAGAGAACATCTATGTTATTAATAATTCCAATGATAACACCATATTTGATGTTTTGTTATTTAACTTTAAAAAAAAATATTGATAAAGTTCTTGATATTTTCTTACCAATTTTATTTTCTATATATTTAAATATGTACACTGTACATGCATACAGGTTGTATGTATTACTTTTATAAAGTGAAATAATGTAACACGTTTTAAAGATTTATTCCATTCAAACTATTGAATTTTGGCCAGATCAGCCAAACCATGACTTGCGAATTAGTAAATTAAGAGCAAATTACATTTTGTTATATGTAGTAAAACATTACATATCAGTATTTGATGTTTTTATCCATTTATTTTTTCTCCTAACTTATTGTATCTTTTTAACACTGTTGCTTTCACTGTAGAATTGCATGAATTTGGTGTTGTTGATAATACTTTGTAAGATTTGATTAAGGTGCCAGCATAAAATTTATACAACTATTTTATATCAACAACACCAATTTCATGCAATTCTACAGTGAAAGCTACATATAAATATATATATAATTCGTTTTAATGACTTCTAAATATATTACCAGTTTTATATTCGGACCTCGCCAAGACTTTTCCATGTATTGCTTTCTGTCCAATAACTAGAAGCCCAACATCTTTGGAAACTGAAATATAAGTAGTGTGTTAACCATCAGTAGTTATCTTTTTACAACCATTTGTCTATACATTTGCTCCAACTTTTGCACTCGTAAAAGTATAATTGCAATGAGGCATTTATGTCATTGTTTGTATTATGAAAAAGATGTCGAAGATACATTTATATTAAGAATTTATGACAGGCAAACTTAAAATTTAGCTGTAAAAAAAGAAACTTGTTGTTTTTTAAATTCTCAATACAAATCATAGTTAATTATAGTGATGTGAGTCTAATGGATTATAAGAAGATTTTAGAATATTTCATATGCAACACATTCTGAATTTATGCCTGAAATGTTAATTCTGATCATATATTGAAATTGATAGCTGAAGAAATATCAAAAAACTAGATCTGCATAAAAGAAGTACAATGTATTAAATGTTGTGATCTGACTAATAATGTAACAGATATTTATATTGACTTTAGTTTCTTAGCTGTGCCATATCTTGTAATCTCT